GTGTTGAAATAATGAAAAACCCAGTTGTGTGAACACATGATGAATCAGATGAATCTGCTGATGATATTTCACACTGATGGGATTTCCAGCTGCATTTTTTCCGCTCTGTATTTGGAGCAGTAAACTGCTGTCTGATTTCATCTCATCCTGTGTGTGTGGTTGTGTGTGTTTCAGCTGATTGAGAATGCAGCCTACACGTTCGAGCAGCTGCTCAACAAAGCCGTCCAGGACAACCCAGACAACCCCGGCTCTGCCATCGAAAAGGCCAAACACAGAGTGCTGAAGGTCAGATTGGCATTTATAAACTCAACAACATAAAAACCTTGTTGATGCTGAAATTCAAACCACCAAATCACAAAGTAATTTGAATTCTATTTGACCCTCAACAGAGAATACACCTCGGCAGAGTACCTAACCACTGTGACTGATAGAAAATTCAGGACAATGTTGAGGATGTACAGTCTGAGGGGACACAGCTTGGCCATAAAAACAGGCCGTCACAGGCAGAACAGGCTACGGAGGCCAGGCTGTGTTCACTTTGTCATAAAGCAAAGGTTGAAATGGAATCTCACTTCTTACTGTACTGTGTGTGTGTGTGTGTGTGTGTGTGCGCGCGCCTGCATGAGCAGTATATGACATTTCCCATACTGAACTGCTGTGGCTCACACACATACAGCATTCACACAGACAGCGTTGCTGCTGCAGAGCTGCCTGCTACCATAACTACAGTATTTCCACAATTAAATTTCCATACTCCAAAAATTTAGGGAAATTGCACTGCATTGTCCAGCAAATATTTCACAATAAAAAAACCCTTGTGTTAACAACTGGAGGTATTCTGTCGATAGAAACACTGTCAAAGCACTTTTATTTTGAAACGGAAACAGGAAAGGTTAAATAAAACAGAAATATTTATATTTCTTCATGTCTGTGACTGATTACGACATTAAAACTCCAGTGAAAGGTGGTGTACCATCAATATGATATTCAAAAGACTATCTTGAATGTTTATTTTTGCTGAAAACCATGTACATGACGCAGAAAAAAATAGGTGAGACTCCTGGTCTCTAGGTGTGCTTTAACTGAGCAGCGCTGCTCACGTGGGCAACGTGGCTGCTCTAACTTGTCAATATGTTTGCCGAAAATAAATACAACAGGTTCCGCGACGTATATGTGCTGCTTACACAGGCAGTGAGGCCCAGGCACAAGTTACAGTTGAAGCCGCACTACAAAAGACATTTATAGGCCGACGGTGATGATTTTAATGTTGACCCTAACTCTTCATGTGACATATGAAACGTTATCACACCTGGGAGAAATAATGGACAAAACTCAAAATAAGACCTTTCAGACATGAAGTGATTATTCCTGTCTGTCCTCTGTTTTTCCTGCAGCAATATGATTATGACAGCAGCACAGTGAGGAAGAGGATCTCCAGGGAAGCTCTCGTCTCCATCACTCTGCCCTTCATCAAGAGGAACCTGGCCCCCACCTGCAAGACTGTAAGTCTCTCTCTCTCTCTCTCTCTCACACACACACACACACACACACACACACACACACACACACCCTATAGAGTCACTAAACTGTGTCCTTTAACTGTCTAAAATGTAAATAGGGTTAAAACATTGATAATGATGAACTGAGCAATATTTAAGGTCCTTTTTAGACCACCAGTGTTGAAAGCTACAATGACGTGTTTTAGAGCATGACCCATGTGATCTATCTGTACAGGAGCTTCAGGGTCTTCAGCAGTCCATTGATGGCGACCACTCCAACTTCATCCATGTTGAGAACGTTTATGAGAGCATCCTCCTTCAAATTCTGGACAAGGAGGTCACCAAAGGTATGATACACCAATGATAATGAATCAGCAACACACACGTTCTCTCTTTCAGAGACGCCTCTAAACCTTCCTGTTTTCTCCTGCAGTGGTGAAGGAGGCAGCCAGCCTGAAGAAGTACAACCTATTCACAGACAGCAGAGACCTGCTGAGTCAGTCCAGCCGCTCCAGCCTCTCCTCCCCGCCCGTCTCCACCCCTGGCAGCCCTGCCATGATGCTTGCTTCCCCTGCCAAAACTTCCGTTGAGCCCCAGCCACCGTCTCCTCTTGTGGTTAACGGTCTGTCATCCAGCCCGGAGAAGAAGGAGCAGCCAGAGAAGACAAACGGCATGCTGCAAAGCGAAGCCTCAACAGACACGACCGCCATTGAGACACCTCTGGGGAAGGTTGAACAAAAAGATGCAGCTCAGAGTGTGGCGGTCAGTCAGGAGGCAGGGGCGACCACAGCAGAAGTCATCTTCCAAACTGTGAAGGCAGAAGCAGGCAGTCCTGTTGCACTTGAAACTCCAGCTTTACCAGATACAACCAACCAGAGTGATTCGCAGCAAGGTAATGTAGAAGCAGCTCCAGAGACTGCGGTCCAAACGGAAGCTATTTCGGTCGAAACAGAAACAGCTAAAACCGCTGCTGAGCCTCCGATGCAGAATGCAGATGTTCCAGAAGAGGCAGAAATGACTTTGTCACAAATCCCCACTACTGTTGAAAGCATAAAGACAGACATAGGAGCAGCACAGATAGAAGTACCTGTACCAAGTCCTGATCCCACTAATGAACCAGTAAGTTCTTCAGCAGAAGGCACTGATGCTCAAACTGTAACCAGCAATGAAGAGGAAACACACTGTGGCAGCTCAGAAATCAAGTTAGAGACTCCCTCTAGTGGTCAAACACCTGCACTCACACCTGCAGAGGTCAGCCTGGACCTGGCGCGACAAGAGGCAGAACCAGATACCACCTCAGACCCTAATTCTCTGGATGTGTCCCTAGGTAGTGAGTCACCCCCATCAGATGTGGAGTCCATGGAGGAAGTGAAAACAACGCAGAGCAGCGCGGATGAAGTCTCTGCGACCTCTGACGTCTTGGAGGATGAGGCTAACATGAATAAATCACTTGAGAGTTCAGACGATACAGCTGAGGACAAAACCACAAGTGGGGAGCTGTCTCCTGAGGCCCAGACAGAAGCTGTGAGCAGTGACGTTGGCGGGGACATCAAGGCAGGTGCAAGTGTGAGCGTGGAGCCATCGGTGGAGGCCACAGCCACCTCTCAGCCCTCTGAGCCTACCGCAGAAACCCCCTCCAGCCCTGAGGCCCAGGCCATTGACAGCATCAAAGAGATCCGTGACCTGGTGGTGGAAGTGATCGAGGTGGAGGAGCTCGTGCAGCGTTACCCCAGTGGAATTCCCAAAGTGGAGGAATGAAGCATCATGACCGATCATAACTGCATTACTGTTCTTTCAGGAAAATGGCGGACAAAATTAATAACGGATGTTCTACTAAGGGGAACCAACTTATTACCAGAACAGGACAGTAGCTTCCATCTGCACTGCCTCAAACTATCCTGGAGTTCAAACAATTTTTTGCAGAGCAGAAACCCCTGAGAGACATTTACAGAAGCTTCCATGAACCTTTTTTAAACACATATGCATGAAATTATGATAAATTATTTATACTAATCATTTACACAAATCAATATATCAGCTGTGTCAGGTGTAGAAACCATCAGGTCTGTGTCAGTGGCTGACAGGATTTTTTTTAACACTACAATTATTTTAGGACCAAATCGTTTAAGGAAAAAAAATAGATGTAAAACTATTTTATTAAGATTGTGAAGATGTTTCTGGAAATTTCATTATGTTGTGGTGGATTCTAAATATATTTGAGATTTTAGAAAATTCTCTTTACACTTACTTTCTGAGAGTAGGATGTGAATATAGATATCAGTGTCATGTCTGTAAATGAGCTGCAGTCAGGATGTGGTTAGCCTAGCTTAGCATAAAAAGTGGAAGCAGGGGGAATCAGCAAGCCTGGCTATGTCCAAAGTTAAAAAGAAATACCCATGCCAACACCTCTAAAGCTCTCTGAAAACGTGTTATGTCATATGCTTACGTAATCTATAGACAAACAGAAATGTAAACATCAAAATCTGTGGTTTCAAAAGGGAGTTACGTGTTGGTACTTCTTGGCAAAGGCTTAAGGCTCATTTATACTCCCTTTATGTACAAAAATAGCATAACATTGAGCATAAATGATCCCCTACCAGGGGTAGGCACAAATTGGCGTTTTTAGAGTAAAAAAAATAAAAATAAAATACATGTTTACTAGTGACCCGTAGAGGTGTTGGTAGGTGTAGTTTTTTAGCTTAGGACTGAGACAGGCTAGCTGTATCCCCCCTGCTAAGCTAGTCTCCACACATCATGACTCCAGCTCAGTACCTAACAGACAGACATGAGATTGATGTCCATCTGAATGTCTTACTGTTTGGAGGGGAAAAACAGATTAATTCCCCAAAATGTGGAACTGTTTCTTCAAACAGACTAAATGAGAATGCTTCCTTAGTCGTGTTACAAATTATTTTTTTAAATCACTGAGATTTAGATTGTTTAGAAATCACAATGACAGATATTTTAATATATTGGACACCATGCGCTGGATGAATACCACTTTCAAATTCATATTAAAGCTGTAATTTAGGCACATTTCTTTTTACTTAATGTGATTATTTTTGACCTACTGAAGGACTTTTTTTTTAACACAAAAGAAACTGAAGAAGTAGCTCATCAAAGTGCCTTCACAGTACCTCCACGTGTCTTGCATTGCATGACGAAGGAAACCAGTTTCTGTCATGTGGATGTGGTTGCTATAGAGACTGGTCTAAGTATGACTACCTGTGCCTTTTACCTGTGTAGAGCATCTGACATAGACATGGTTAGTAGGACAGTTTGCAGTGTGAATACAGGGAGCAGCGTCTGACCACTTACTGTCCACCAGATAAATGCTGTTTAATAGAAACATTGTGTGGAAATATGAATAATAAAATAAGAGTCTATAAACAAACATACCCTCAAATCATTTCTGTGTGAACTCTCCACTCTCTGGTTTCAATGTTGGGAAAACAACACAAACAATAAATTGTTTTATTTGCCAATAAAACAAATACAGCATGAGGCTTTGATTATTTATTTATGGTCCACAACTTTTATTTTTTAACCAATTACAGACACAATGTGCTGAGAAATATTAAAGACCTACAAGTAATCCAACATCTGTGACACATTAAATTCTAAATACAGTTGGACTACAACAATGTGCCTTCCATTTATTTGATATATTGCACCACAGGAAAAAAGTATCTCATATTTCAGCAGACCAGCAGAACTCCAGGCACATCAAGAACAAGATAAAGAATACAAATAAGTTATTTAACATTTGTTCATATGTAAGACACATTTTTCAAGATAAGACAATGAAGGCTGTTAACATTTCTTCTTAAATTACATTCAAAGAAATAAAGATAAATGACATCTTAATCCAGCGACTCGAGGTTTTTTTTCACAGTCTGCTGCAGAGTTTCCAGTGAGAGACTGTTTGTGTGCAAAGGCAAAATAATGGTCCCTCTTTATTATCATTTTCTAGGAAGTTTCCTTGAAAGAACTATAATTTGGTACTTAATATAGAATAAATAGAGACAATGCTCTGAGACTTATTTTAGTTAGTTGCATGAAGTTTTTAAAAGGCAATAACAAGGGCAAAGGGTTGCATATGGACAGTAGGGACATGTTTGAGCAGATGTGTTCACATTATCCTCATTCTAACAGCTCTGTGCACAGAAATATGTGACATACAGCATCTCGTATTGATTCAGTAAGGGACAGTGAATTTTATTTTTTAATAGGGGATGACCATTTCTTATTCCTGATCAAAAGTGTTTTCAGTTAGTTTTGGTATTTCAGCTCTGATGAAGAGCAGTGCACTGCCGCTTGCAAATATCAGCAGAGCAATAACCTGATGCACATTGGACCTAAGAGTCAGTCGGTTTTTCTTCTTGAAACATTATGACTTTATCCTCATTAAATTATACATGTATTAATATTTATGTAATTGACAACTTTTTTCGCAAAAGTATCATAACATAATTCTTGAACACAAATAAGTGAGAGTCTGGGAGATGTTTTAAATGTGCTGAAACACATGTTATTGAAGTCCAAAGGTTTATAATGAATTAAAATAAATTTATCTTTAATGTGAACAGGTGCCTCATGCACATTTGGAGGTTACTTCCCCAAACAAAGGACACAAAAAAGGTTGGAATAGTAAACTATGCCTACACATGTTGACTCAGCAGGGATAATTAAAATGAGAAAAGTTGATCTATTTGAAAGCAATACAGAATGTCTGAGAGCCTTACTGGGTTATATTCCATGATAGCCAATTTTATATTTTGAATCATCATGTATTGGCTGAATTTTGTGTTTTTCTTTACATAAATTAAAACAATGCCACCATAAACTGGTGCATAAAACTTTACGTGAATGCAGAATATTAAGCGTTTGATGTTTAAAATTTCCCGGGGCGAACCCTCAGTCTTCCGCTTCATATGTTTACCTACGAATGTTGAAATGAAACCTACTCACTTGGGTTATAGCTAATTCCCTTGAAAGCAAAGCTTAAAGTTATTATTTATTAATAAATATTTATTACTGTAAACTGTATTCTTCACTTGTTAAATTGCATGCTTTCCTGTAGACAAATGTCAAATTTGCAAATCCAGCTGACCTGCTGTGCACCGACAATGACTCTACATGTTATACCCATTAATCGACAGTGATTGAAATGAAAGACAACTCGACGCTGTGTCTATAGTTTCCCTACAACATGTACCAAATTATCGTGTCATTGTCAACAAACATTTTAGGAAATAATAAAGAAAATACAGACCTGCAACACAAACTGTTACCAAAAATATCCTAATGTGCAGTTATATAATCCAACTGCATATTTAATGCATAACTCAGTGCTTCCCAACCTGTGGGTGGGAGCCCCACTCAGGGACCCAAGATTGATCTGAGAGGTCACATAATAATTAAAGGGATAAGATAAAAGGTGTTTTCTCTCATTTTTTCTTTTTAAATGCTTGATACTTCCACCTTTTATGTCTTGAAAAATCCTTCAAATCAAATAATCTGAGAAAGAAAAAGCTGACTTTTGGTTGAAGACAATGACCTGTGACGAGGTGTCACAAGTGACAAATATTGGGACCACTGACAACTACTTCAGCCAGTGACCTGGGCTGGTTTACAGTCTTTAAAATATTATCTTTGTTAAAAGATAAGTCTGGTGATATTATAGAGGTTGTCCCATGTGCAGAGCCAAACAAACAGTTAACACATCTATTAACAAGTGTTGTGTAGCACAGCCTGATAGACATTCTTCCTCTGTGTCATAGAGCTCCACTGTTGTTTGGAAACTATTAAAAGATTAAAACTATATACTTGTGTTTTTAAAGATTTACATTTTCAGCAGGAACCAATGGGCTTGGAGCTGAGAGCCACAGACAGAAAGTCATTAAGTACTGAGAGAGACAGACTAACATGTTGTTGGTCTCAGTCTGAACATTAGACTTGTTGACAATAACCAATACAGAATAACATCAGACTGATCTTTCAAAACACACTCATCCATTTTGTTGTGCTCTTTTGCCTGAAATAGTATTTATGATTGATCACTTTAAGTAGGCTGGTAAAAAAAAAATAAACGTTTTGTAGTGTGAAACTGGAAATTAAAAACAGTAAAATCTGAGTGCACTTCAGTGTTAAATCTACAGCTGCCTAGTTTATCACAAAACAGAAAAATACAAAGCTTCGTTATACAGCATATGTTCTTGAATCACTTCAGCAAAGTGAACTTTTAAATGATATATACAATTTTGTAGTTGAAAAAATGAAATCTGAGACTGACCCTAATATCTATAGATTTGTAAGGTTTTTAGTTTGAAGAACTACATAAACTTCTGTATTAATAAGTCACATACTTTCACTTGGAGTCTTAAGGAATTTATGTGTGAGATGTTTCCACTTGGTCCCTGTGCAATTCCTGATTAAGATGATGATTAGACAATTTGTAGAGTGCTGGGAGATGCATAAAGAAAAGACAGTGTTCCTCCACAATCTAAAGTCAGCTTCAGTAGTACAGAGTGGACATCAGCAACAACACAATGCTTGTACAGTATCAATGTGTGAGAGGTTCCAAGTTTACCGGGAGGCATTGTTGTAGTTGTAGAAATATGGTTCATCCGGGCGGAAGCCGTAGGCGCTGACGGGTCGCTCTGCTGGGACAAACTGCTCTGACACACTGACAGGACAAAAGAAGGGAGATAGATAGATGGGATAAATGAATACAAACTGATACAGCAAGACAGAATTACAAATTGAGATGTGGAGAAGGCAAGCGAAGTGTTGGGAATCACAGAATATTCTTTGCTTTTTTTTATTACCCTTAATGGCCTATATAAAACAAACTTTGATATGACAGACACACTCTTTAAATGTTTTAACAGTATTAAAGCTATCTTAAACCTTGACATGACTATAAAAAGTAAGAGCAAAGACACTCGAGCATGATATTGTCTCTTTAGCTTATTGAAACATGTTAGCAGCCCATGTTTTGGACAAGGGGTCTTCAGCGTTTTTCAGGCCAAGGACCCCTTTACTGAAACTGGGATGGAGCAGGGGCCCTCTAATAAATATATTGTAGAAAACTTAGTTGGATAAGAGATAAATTTCAGTATATCTTGGGTCTTCTCTCTTCTCTTACCTGTAGCTGCTAAGTCAGCAGCAGTTGTAGCATGGCTAGTTCAACTCGCCATTATGGATAAGTGGTGCACAGTGATTTAGCGTTAGCTAGCTCTTGTGATTGTACAAGGATTCATGGGCAACAATTAGCCTATCAATAATACTGTGTACTATTCAACTTAAATTAACAAACAATTTGACAGGCACCATGTAATAACCCTGAGGAGTCCCTAGAGGTCATGGACCCACTGTTTGAAGACCCAGGTAAACAATTCAGTGGAGTAAGACTCCTGCTCCCAGGGAACACCAGACCTGCATATTTTCCATCTCCTGCTGCTCTGCTCACACCTGACTGGCTGGATCAGGTGTGTTAGGCCAATTAAGCTTTAATCAGGTTTGTGAAGAAAAGTGAGAGATGGAATTATGCACAGCTGCAATAAACTGATGGTACCTCATAACTGTACCTTTCTGCTTGATGACATGTTTTTTAATGATCACGTCCACCATTGCTTGAATATAGCCTCATTTGTGATGCCTCACAAAGAAGATAACAGCACACACTTGGACATTTCCCTGTCCACATGTCTGTCCATGAGTTTTACATAAGTCTGTTTTCAGTGACATAAAACGCAACAAAGGGTCAAAAATGCGTAGATTAAGCTACATATTCAGATATACCTGCGTACATGTGGACTGGGCCTGAGAAAATAGTGTGGACACCACTGGCCATATACTTTTTCTTGAGGTTGTCAGGTTGAAACTGGAAAGAGACAAAAACAATGTCCACATATACAAAGCCAGCTTAGAAAAGAAAGGATTACACAGAGCCCTGACCTTAGCCCCATCCAACACCTTTGGGGTAAACTGTAACACTGACTGTGAGTCAGATCTTATCACCCAACATCAGTGCTGGACCTCACTAATGCTCTTGTGTCTGAATGGGAGCAAATCCCTGCAGCCAGGTTCCAAACATCTGGAGAGAAGAGTGAAACCAGAAAACACCAGTACCACCACCAGGTGGAGCTCTGACACCAAACATCTCTCTGGAAACCCCCCACCCCAGGGCCGCACCAATCGCTCAGTCATAGTACTGCGTGAAAAAAAAAATCCTTGTAAAAAGTTAATGTAATATTCATCTGCCCTGATGCAGGTGTTGGACATCCACAATGAGTGTGTGAGTTACAGAGTGCTAATGGCTGGAGGGGTAAACAGCAGAGCGGCCAAGTCTTAAAAAACTGAGAGATGTCAAAACACAGCGCTGTGACGAGGGCGGAGGCTGACGGCCAAACCTGGAGGACCTGGCTGCCCTCCGCCCGGCAACAGGGGCCTGTTGAGGGGAATGATAAAAGGCCTGTATCTACACCGTATAAATCAGTTACTATGGGGATGTGGATACAGAGGGTGGGGGCCGATTTCACGCTCCATCTTCTGACCAGCTGCTGGGAGTTTGTGTCTGGTTGTGGGGTCACGTCAGCAGGCCCAGCCGCCTCATCAGAATGGAGTGGTTGATGGATAAACTGGGCTCTGATGGATGACACCACATCTCACACGTATCCCTGTCTTTCTCTTTGGGAGTGTTTGCTGCCCGGCCCGTCGTCCTCTCCCGGCCTTCTAAAATACGAGCTGTTTGCTTTGCCCCTGCAAGCGCCTATAATGACGTGTTGTTTTTAGCCAAATCACTTCCAGCGATCAGTTACACAGCTTGCAGCCCCCCCCCCCCCCCCCCCCCCCCCCCCCCCCCCCCCCCCCCCCCTTCCCCCCCCCCCCCCCCCCCCCCCCCCCCCCCCCCCCCCCCCCCCCCCCCCCCCCCCCCCCCCCCCCCTCCTCTCTGGGCAGAAATATGTCTTTTTCCTCTCCGCACGCTACGGCTGTCAGGGGGGATTTGAGAGCCAGGCTAAAGGAGGCTGGAGGAACACTGGAGCTCTGACTCACACCATCCGCCTGCCTGCCTGCATGTCTGCCTGCTTCTATGACTGACTGGTTACACCTCAGCCTGGCTTCAGGATCTGTAGAGGACCTGTAGGAGTCCTAATGATCAGTCATTGCTCAGGACTGGACAGCTTTGATGGTGAAAAAACAAACTTTACAGTACAATATTGAGTACATGCTACATCCATCTCTATCCATTATTCTTAGGTTAATGTGTTTTATTATTTTGATGAATTCTTTTGTCTATAAAATGTGAAAAAGGTGCCTAAATTATTTTTTTTAGATATTACGCCATTGGGTCTGGACCTTTGAATCCCCCAACACAAAGTTGACTGATTCATCTGGCATCGTCACATGAAAAAGCAGTTTCTCAGTTGAAAAAACAATGGATCCTATGAGTGCCACCACACCATATTCACAACATAATCAAACCAATGAGGGGTAATAAAAAACCAGGATGATGCTGCTATTGAGGCTGTTTTCAATCAATATGTATTTTCAATATTGTCTGATATCCCAGCTTGTTTTTACTTCGCTCCATTCCGCTCGTAAATCTGCGGCAAAACCAATAAGTTGGCATGGCAACGCATCAGTGTGGACTTAATATCCGCCTGAATCTAAATGCCATTAGATTCAGACGGATACATTAGTGTCTCATGATATGTTGAGGAAGATTGAATCCTCTTTCCCCATGGAAATCTGTTAAGAGAGGGATGGCAGGTTAAGGGAGATGCATTTTATTAACATTTTGCTAACATGTGGGATGGTGCCCCCCCCATTCCCCATCAAATCACCTACTGCTTGTGATCCCATGTCACAGGTTGCCTAAGTCTACAAGTTGTGTTCAGTTGAACCCCATCATGACTCTTCTTCTCAGAGTGTTTTATCTGAATAGTTTTATGAGGTAAATTATGCAATAAGTGACATTAAACAGGAAAGATTAAAGTACAGCCAAAAACATAATTTTATATAACTGAAGTATTTTTTTCTGCTTTCCTATCATCTTCAACCTGTCAGATTTATATTGGAGGAAGAGGCCCAGATGGAACTATCCATTATGTGACAGACTTAAACATCATTTTACTGCCAATAAATTCCAGAAATGTTTTTTAATAGCTTACAGGTGAGTGTTGCATCTTTTTAAGCATCAGGAGAGTTGATCCATCAGCTCAGGCGAAATCTAACAATAATAATCTAACACTAAATTAAGGTCTTAACAAAAGAGCCACACAGACACTGCGGGCAGACTGATATTATTTTCTTTAACAGGAAAAATATTAGAAGTTTTGTCTATTTTAATGTAAGTTTGATGTTTTTAGTAGTTTGTCAAAATGAAAATTCCTGTAACGTGTTTGTATGTTCTTTAGTAAAATAGTTAAATCTGTTCTTAACAACAGTAATCAAACTGAAGTCATATCTTTAAACCTGCGTGTACCCTGTAATTTATTAAAAAGGGTTCAAGAAAGGAATCATAAACAGAATGGCACAAGAAGAAGAACTGATGATGGAAACTGATCGATCAAATTATAATTCATTGACAGGAACACTGGCTCTCAATTTGGGCTGGGAATGAGGGAATTAAATTTTCATTTTAGTATCACCCTAAAAGCTCCAGTCACAACCAGAAGTTGATTTAAAAACGCTGTAGTTGAGGAAATGTAATTTATCCCTCCAGGCCGGTGATGCATCATGCTTTGAATATTTAAGGGCAGCGGGTCTGAAAGAACGCCTGACACGGTAGCTGGTATTTCTTATTACGAAACATGCAAATCAACCTGTTTGCCACCTTCCTTACTTCATGAGTGTCAGTGTGTGTTGTGACATGCCGAAAAATGAGGAAAGGTGGTTGTGGGTCTTTGAGACAAGGCGCCTGGTGTTCCCACATATGCTAGTTTGGCCCCAGAGGAGCGGCTGCAGGAGGCGGCGGGGACACGTCCCATCCCGCAGAGAACATTCCTTGGTAGTGAACAGGAAAGAGAATCAGGCCTTTTCCTCCTCTGGTGTGACCCTTCGCCCCCTCTGTGTCTACCTCTTCGAGGGCCTCCAGCCGGGCCCTGCTTTGATCTCTCCCTGCTGTCAATGCTCAGGTTACAGCTAACCAACACACCGACCCCGGTAAAGAACCAGGTCTCACCCCCGCCACCTCCACCGTCCCCACATATCTTCATGTCTCACCTGATTGTGTGACGGTGTTCCTTTACTTGCCTTATTTTTACCTCACCTCACTCCCTGGCGCCCCGTCACATCCTGACAGCTTCTCAAAGCGCTCACTGATTCTCTTGTTGGTGTATTCAACAAACACAGACTGTCTATCTGTCACGCCTGATTCTACCGGACAACTGTCTTTACCTGACTAAAGCATTATTCACACCTGGAGAATCTGTTCCCCTGTCCTAACAGGACACAATTTGGTCTAGTTAATCAGAGCAGGACTTAATACTCTATTTGTTTGAGACAACATTAAAGTTTACAAAATCTCATATCTGTTTTAACATTAACTAACATCTTTGATAAAGAGCCCTTAAATTTGATTATCAATGACTTGTGACTAACATTTTATATAAAAGCTGGTTATTTTACAGCTGAAAAATGTATTTGTTAGAAGGATGACATGGTTATAACTAAAACGTCTCTCTCTCCCTTCATTTTATCTATTTTGTCTCTATATCATCTTAAACTGTCTAATAAGAGTAAAAAGCCCAAAAATATTTTTTTGGGGGAAAAAAACAAAACAAAACAAAAAAACTCACCTTTTTAGCAAATATACCAGAAACGTTTAAAAGTAAACTGCACTGGGACTTCACTGAATCAGCATCAATACAAACAACACAAAAATAAAGTCTCAAATACCAAAAAATGCAGCCTGTTACTATGTTGAAATTTCATAAACATGAGATGACGTAGTGTTAAGAGTATTATGGACATTAAATAAATTTTTTGAAAGCTAATATAGCATTTCACCAAGCTGATACTGGATTTCTGAGGCATACTGTGATACTGATATTATGATGTATTGACATTTTGGGGGTTTTCTTCAACATAAAAAGATGATTTTGATTAGGATGACTTAAAATGGTTTTCAAAGAACTGGGTCGAAAATATGTTCTGAATGTTATTTAGCTGGGGGACAGACTGTGTAACAGTGACACTTTTGCTAAATGACCTCAGACATATCTAATATTTCTGTATTAATAAGCCATTATGAGAACTATATGGACTGGATTTATGAGCACTCTACCAATAGTATTTTACACTGTGTCCATCATTCACTGACATCCACACCAATGACGACACTGGCCTAACCATCAACTAACAATCCAGCCTCAGTGTCAAGGACTAGTGTCCTATTTCTGTACATGGAGGAAGCATCGGTCCGATGGATTAATACCTCTGGACTGCAATGACTTATTTGTCTTTATGTGTACATTTAAATCTTATTTTAAGGTTCTCTTCTGACATTCCTGTAATGTTTCTTCAAATTAGGGCTGAACAATAAATTATTTTTCATCATTATTGTGATGTCAACTTGCGCGTTAACACATCATGAAAGACTGCAATATTGCACTCAAGGATATTTTGAGTTAACTGAAAAAGGTTTTGCAGAAAACTGCACTTTAAAATGTAACAGTTACTTTTTATTGCTGCCTTTTGTGTTCAGTTCAATTTTCAATTTGTTCAGTAAAAGAATGTTGAAAATAATTTCCTTTCAATTTTTCATATAGCAAGCAATTTGTTGTATTTTAACAGTATACTGAAGGCAGCAGAGAGGCAGAACTGAGTACACTTCAACATCTCTTTATTTATCCCAAATAATATCCTTATATTCAGTGAGGTTATCACATATCACACACTTTCCTCGTATAGTGCAGCTCTCAAATACTCCATACATTATTATAACACACTCAACTAATCATATTGGCCAATAAATTGGTCAGGCTCTTCATCATATATAGTTGGTGTAAAAGCCCATTCTGATTTTCATACAAATAACAGTGATTGTTCAGTGTTACGTCCATTTCAAAAAGGCCCCATTCACACCATGTTTCACACATAGTTTAAAATAAGCGGCGGAGCTGGCTTTGATTATTATGTTAACCTGGATCACTCAGAGTACAGCAGCCAAATTAAAACAGTCTCACAGACACCGATTCCCCCGGCGCTCTCGGTATATTTAAAAGGTATCAGTTACAAAGCTGAGAGAGAGAAAGAGAGAGTGAAGAAACAGACAATAAAGAAATGAGTGAAGGGAACTCAGATTGGGATTTCTCTCTTGTAGGACTGACTGTCGTGGATTCAGCCACTCACAGTCAGCCTCTCAACAGCAGCCAAACTAAACATTCCTGCCGGCAAGGGGGGAGGAAAAAAAATCCATCGACACAAGCTTTATCGCACGCAAGGAGAAGCTTGATAATAAATAAGACAAATTACTCACAATAAACTCTCTATTTCCTCAAGTATTCATCATCTCAGCAGCGTGTTGAATTGGCTGCCGCTTGATATTGGGACTAAAAACTGACTCAAAGTCCATCTTAGTGATAACAGGATTGATTTTTAATTCCCAGGCTTCAGTTTCATGTTTCGCTGTGGAATGTCAGCGGCGTATTGGGACTAAAGTAGCTGATATATTGGAGCCACAGAGGAATGAGAGAGAGAGAGAAACACGGAGACTGGAAGAGAGAGAAACAAGAACATGGAGACAGACAGACAGCCGGAGAGTGTTTGTTCTCTAAACTGGAGTACTGCTGTTGAGGGTGGAGCGATGCCTTCTGGGATTGGTGAGGCCTGTTGACTCAGGCTTGGCCTGGTTCAATAACACACATCAGCAAATAGTGATTCAGAAAAACAATACGAGAGGGCAGAGCGCTGGCTGCTGGACGAGCCGACTGAAGGTAAACACTCACAGTTTAGTGTTTCCTCTCTGACACAGCCTGTGTTTCTAGACAAAGACAACCTGCCCTGCTGACAGCCTCCATCACACTCTACCATTCATTATCATAATGCAGACACACAGAGAGCAGGGTTGGGGTCCGATAGCTGAGCCAGTTTTGCATTCAGTCCTAGGTTCTCTATCTCGCTCCGAGACCAACAAATCTCTATTCTTTTTCATTAGCAAAAAGCAACAATGCTCCTTTTTAGAAAATATGAACGCTGCTTTTGCCAAAAGAAATCCCAAAGATTGTATCAGCTGTAGCTAATTAATGTTAATTCCATTAGTAACTTGCCACAAGGCCAAAATGAAACTCATCTGTTGTGGTTAGAGCACTCTGTTCAAGCTGGTGTGTAAACACAGTCACAGATTACTGAATAAGGAAAGAAGCAGCCCTTTCCAACATGACTACTACTAACCTGTTTTTGGACATTGCATATATTGTATATATTTTGGATTTGCACCTTTGTGTTATTTCATATTTTAATAATTGCACTCTTTCCTACTTTGTATTGCAGCTTCAACAGCAACTTGAAATCTTATCTTAATCACAAGTGAACTTTCCAGGTCTCTTTCACACCTAGTAGTTCTAGTTCACTCCACTTTTTGAGTAATGGAAAAAACAACAACTGTTGCCTGCATCGTCAGTTCTGGTGCAGTTTTGTGTTCATGTGGACGTACTACAATCAAACTAAGAGCTGTAAACATGAGGTCATAATGACTGGCGGGTGACCCAGTGATCAGACAGTTTTGGTGACTGTCATCTTGCATCATCTCTGCTACATGGACCCATGTGGGGAAATCAAATTTCAGTGACTAGAGGACCAAAAGCACCAAAAGAAGGACTTCACCCCTCTAATGCTTTTTATCAATAATTCACCCAGTGTTACACTGAATTTGTGAAGAAAACTTTGTTTTTCTTGTATGCCTCCAGTGAAGGAAGAATCCAACAATGGAGAAAATTCCTGATTAATAATTAAGTGTTTAACTACAGCAAACTACACTAAAACATCTGTTAACAAATTGTGACACAACTTATGCAGTATAATCCATGTTTCATTTATCCACTCTTACGCTCAGTACTTCCCAAACACATGCAATTTAGCTAAAACCTTACAACTGAACTAAAAGCATGGCTGAAAGCAAAATTATTACAGACTCTGCGGTTTCAAAAAGAGGAGCAGCTTCAGTAGTGTCGAATAAACTGTTGCATCAGTAGACCTGGGCCTCCTGAATGTTTTATGAACAGCCCTGGACTTCTATTAGACTATGTTAGCGAGTAACCGTGAGTTACCCTCCCTGCAGAGTTAACTCATTCAGCGGCTCCGCGAACAGCAGCACAGCATCTCCCTCTCCTCTCTCCCTGTGTGCACACAGGAATCAGTGTTGTCAAGTGATCAAAGTTTGACAGTGTAAACCTATGTGACGCTCGCAGCTCGACAGAAAACATATATGAATATATGAACACATATATGTGAATGTGCAGTAGTTCTGGTAGCATAACAGCCTGTCACAGGTTACAGTGTGATGGTTAGAGGAGAAATGAGCATAAAGTTCCTGGTGGAACCCCCCCCCAACTCAATCACTAAGGATTTTGCTAAAAGAAGGAAATCACCTGCTGATTTATATATATATAGATCGCAGGGTACACTTATATGTATTTGGGAGCTGTTTAAATGTGTAATTTGTGGTAGATTTTATTTTGTTGATCTATTAATGTTGTATACAGAATCTGACTCTCACTCTGAGTTACTGTTGTTGTTTACAACTGAAGAAATAAGAGATCGTTTATCTTGATTTTTTACTGGATATCTGAAGGCAAACTGTTAGGTTATCATGTGAAATTCTATCACTTATTTTGTTGCAATTCAACTGTCTTAAATTATTAATGAATTTTATCTTATTATATAATGACGAAAACTCTGTGTGTGTGTGTGTGTGCGTGTGTCTGTTCCACGTTTTTCTCCTCACTGACTTGGTCAATCCATGTGAAATTTGGCACAGTGGTAGAGGGTCATGGGAGGATGCAAATGAAGCAATATTACATCAATTGGCCAAAGGGGGGCGCTATAGCAACCGATTGAAATTGCAAACTTTGAATGGGCATATCTCATGCCCCGTATGTTGTAGAGGCATGAAACTTTGCACAAATTTGCCTCAAGAACCCATAGCTTCCAGTTATATAGATTTTCCACCATTTTGAATTTTTTGAAAAACACTTCAAATCAATCTCTTCCTAGGAAGTTTGAGCGATCTGCATGAAACTGGGTGAACATAATCTAGGGACCAATATCTAAAGTTCCCTCTTGGCAAAAGTTGGAAAACCTACTGAAACTGAGCTTCTTTAAGGCAATGAATATTGCAGAGGGCGTGGCTCATCACATAAAGGTGTATAACATCTCAAGGGTTTCACCACGCAACTTTGTAGGCATATGACCACACATAATCTGAGGAGACCCCTCCATTATTGACCTGATCAAACAAAATGGGGGCGTTAGAGAGCTAATTTCTTATCTAGGCCTAACCGCCATATCGATTTTTACTAAACTTGATGGATATGTAGAACAGGACGCCTCAAGGTGACTGGAGAAATTTAACTCTAATTGGCACTATAACAAGATCACCCAATCCTAACAGCTAAGTTTCATTTTCAGTTCAGTTTTAAATAATATGGTTTTGGCTCACACAAGTTGTGTGAGTTTGTAAGCAGATGTTTTGACATAGCTTTGCTAACATGTGCCCATATAACTCCAATTCATTAAGAATTTTCTGTGTTTTTGGATTCTTTGTTCACTACAGAGGAATGTGAGCAGAAAAAAAAGTTTACTTCATAAATTCAATGTAACATGGGGTGATTAAATGATACACAAATGGTCATTTAGGAAGTGAAGTATTCCTTCAACTAAACCTTTTCCATATGTCATTAATAATGATAAACATATGATTGAAAAAGATTCGGGTTCTCTGAGTGGAGTCAGATGAGGAAAAGTGATATTAAATACCAACCCACTGCAGGTGTAGGTGAACAGAGAGCTCCATACCTGCTCATGTATCCAGTTTGTCCCAGCTCCCCATTCTGGAAGTCAGTGAAGAAATCAGGACTGATGGCACCGTCTGCTGACATGATCCCATCTGAATGAGACAATACAAACACGACTTAACATACTGTACATATAACTCAGCGTTGATATCAAACTTTTCATCTCACTCTCTATACAAAAGGCAGATGAGTACTATTTTCCAAAATAAAAAACTATTCCTATAAACCCTCAGTACCAGCGCTGTAGAACAGGTCGGGTCTCTCCAGGATGTCTCCGTCCCCGATGAAGGATTCCCCATCCTCCCCATACAGGAAAGGCTCTTCTGCTTCATCCATCAGACGGTTCTCCACCATCTCCAGCCACTGACCATTGTACCAGCGGAACTTCTCATTCTGGATCTTTTTTCCCCACTCCTCGTCATATTCCTGAGTGATGTTGGAGGGAAGAGAAGGTTGGGAGAAGGGTGACAGAAAACCAGAGAAATGTGTCCATAGTTCATTGGCAAAATGCTACAGATTCATTTGTACAAAACCCAAAACCAGTGAAGTTGGCACGTTATGTAAATCGTAGATAAAAACAGAATACAATGATTTGCAAATCCTTTTCAACTTATATTCAATTGAATACACTGCAAAGACAAGATGTTTAATGTTCAAACTGAGAAACTTTATTTTTTTTTTTGCAAATAATCATTAACTTAGAATTTAAAGGCAGCAACACATTGCAAAAAAGTTGGCACAGGGGCCTTTTTACCACTGTGTTACATCGCCTTTCCTTTTAACGACACTCAGTAAACGTTTGGGAACTGAGGAGACCAATTTTTGAAGCTTTTCAGGTGGAACTCTTTCCCATTCTTGCTTGATGTACAGCTTAAGTTGTTCAACAGTCCGGGGTCTCCGTTGTCGTATTTTACGCTTCATAATGCGCCACACATTTTCAATGGGAGACAGGTCTGGACTACAGGCAGGCCAGTCTAGTACCCTCACTCTTTTACTATGGAGCCATGCTGTTGTAACACATGCAGAATGTGGCTTGGCATTGTCTTGCTGAAATAAGCAGGGGCGTCCATGAAAAAGACGTTGCTTGGATGGCTACATATGTTGCTCCAAAACCTGTATGTACCTTTCAGCATTAATGGTGCCTTCACATATGTGTAAGTTGCCCATGCCTTGGGCACTAATACACCCCCATACCATCACAGATGCTGGCTTTTGAACTTTGCGCCTATAACAGTCCGGATGGTTCTTTTCCTCTTTGGTCCGGAGGACACGACGTCCACAGTTTCCAAAAACAATCTGAAATGTTGACTCGTCAGACCACAGAACACTTTTCCACTTTGCATCAGTCCATCTTAGATGAGCTCGGGCCCAGCGAAGCCGGCGGCGTTTCTGGGTGCTGTTGATGAATGGCTTTCGCTTTGCATTGTAGAGTTTTAACTTGCACTTGCAGATGTAGCGACGAACTGTAGTTACTGACAGTGGTTTTCTGAAGTGTTCCTGAGCCCATGTGGTGATGTCCTTTACACACTGATGTCGGTTTTTGATGCAGTACCGCCTGAGGGATCGAAGGTCACGGGCATTCAATGTTGGTTTTCGGCCTTGTCGCTTACGTGCAGTGATTTCTCCAGATTCTCTGAACCTTTTGACGATATTACGGACTGTAGATGATGAAATCCCTAAATTTCTTGCAATAGCTCGTTGAGGAATGTTGTTCTTAAACTGTTCGACAATCAGCTCACGCATTTGTTCACTAAGTGGTGACCCTCGCCCCATCCTTGTTTGTGAATGACTGAGCATTTCAGGGAAGCTGCTTTTATACCCAATCATGGCACCCACCTGTTCCCAATTAGCCCGTTCACCTGTGGGATGTTCCAAATAAGTGTTTGATGAGCATTCCTCAACTTTCTCAGTCTTTTTTGCCACTTGTGCCAGCTTTTTTGAAACATGTTGCAGGCATCAAATTCCAAATGAGCTAATATTTGCAAAAAATTACAAAGTTTACCTGTTCGAACATTAAGTAACTTGTCTTTGCAGTGTATTCAATTGAATATAGGTTGAAAAGGATTTGCAAATCATTGTATTCTGTTTTTATTTACGGTTTACACAACGTGCCAACTTCACTGGTTTTGGGTTTTGTATTTTCTGCACTTAATAGCAGCTTACAGCTTTAATGACATGACTGACTGACACATTAATTACATTTACAAGCACAAAACAGTCTGCTTTTTGCCTTTATTCTGAAAAAGACAATATCTAAGCAGTTTTGTGCATTTGCCCTTCAAAACATGTAACAACGAAACGGCTGGAGCTGCTTGTGCCATTTTGCTTCTTTGCGTCAAACTGGCATTTTTCCACCGGTGGCGGGCCTGTTAGACCGTGCAAACACAGCCTCCTTCTTTCATTCCTTTAACCACCTTCTTGAAAAGGTTGATGTTGTGATACATGTGCATATCCAAAAAAATTGTTAATATCTATGTATTTCACAAGGTTTGAAAGTAGACGTGTATCTCTTTCCCACCAGAAATGTAAGCTTCTTTTGAGCATGCATCTCAACCCAAGGTTTGCAATCTGTTGGCTAGTTGGTTTGTGCACCATGCACAGAGCTGACTGTAACAGACAAGAGGCCGTGTGTTGCAAACTGCAGTAAAAACCCAGCTGAGACGCATATTCTGAATGCACTGTATACATGTCCAAAGAATGCTCCTTAAACCCAAATAATACTGGCATATCCCACATGTGCTAATTGTAAAATGCCACATTCAGAGTTTTGGAATATCCAAATAGAAGATGCTGTTTACATGACCTGCATCAGTTGTGGAATACTGTTATTCCCGGAAAAATAGTGCAATGTAAGTGTGCATGCAAACACAGTCAGTGATTTGCTCTGGAAAATAACTGTGACCTTTGGTTAAAGGACTCTGAAAGTTTTCCAAATAGCTCCAGTTTTATTCCTCGTTGAGGAATTCCTGATTTGATGCAATTAAAGCCTTTAATTAATTATTAATCAGCCCCTTTGTTTTTTTTGTTCTTCTGTTAACACTGAGTGGCGGTAGGACATGAATGTTTGTCCTACAGTAGCAAGAGTTATCACCATGTCAAAGCATATTTGGGAAATCTGCATCAACTTTTATCACATCTTCTTATTAAAGATACACCACTTTTACACCCCTGCCAAGCATAAAATATTCTCCCCCCCCCCCCCAAAAAAAACATTGTCACAACAGTTATTTACAAGTTCATACATGTAAAATCAACAACTCCATATCAGAAGCCTATCAGGTACGTGTATGTATGACTGTCGTAATAAAAACCTGCGTCCGGCCGGCTCGACTGTTTGCATAGCTCGGGCAGAGGACGACCACAAAGTTCTGTTTTCTTTTCTCTGCGGGGGCTGAAGGGGGAGTGATAAAGGCGGCCTTTGAGACTGTGATGCCCCTGCCTGAAAGATTAATCATTCAGATGCAAAGCAGAGCCCCGTGGGCACTGACAGCCACCCCGAGATCCTGGGACTCAAACGGGCCTATTGACCGTCATTCTGAGGCCTCCACCCCAAACGCTGGTGGTGACAGTGACACACTATGTCAGCATGCTGATTCATCAGAGGCTGAAACAGCATCATGACTCATGGTTTTGACTGAGCAATTAGGCTCTTATATTGGTTTAATATGACTAATCAGTTATTAGCAGCTGAGCTCATGACAGCATGAGCTCATCACGGCAGGGGTGAGGAAGTGCACAACAGTTTTGGGAGCTTTTCAACATATTCCTCTGGAAATGTGGCCGGGCTAAGAATATCACTGTGAATTAGGCCTCTGTCCCACTTGGAGCATCTACAAAGTTCCTTGTGTTTGTACATGAGCAGGGCCACGATGATCAAAGGGCGAACATTTCAGGACTGCACAGTTATGGCGTGTGCTGCCAAAAGGACCCGGGCGGTAATGATTGTGTGTGTGTGTGTGTGTGTGTGTGTGTGTGTGTGTGTGTGTGTGTGTGTGCGTGTCTGTGTGTTTGTGTCCACAGCTCTGCTTTCTCTCTCACCTCTGCTGTCCAGCCGCTGACACACACCAGAGCCCACCGGCTGCCTTTCATGTGGTTCACAGCTTAATAGGTCTCACTGATAATTTCAATGAAACACTTCCTTTGCCCCGCTACACTGCCGGGCTATAATCTACAGCTAATTACGCTGATCTGAGGTCTGGCAGCGATCATACACTGACTGGGAGCTGACCACACCTGTCAGTCACAAGGCGATTCAGGAGTTCATCGCTTTGTTAATCGCTGATGTCAAATTTGGCTCGGGCACATCAGGAAAGGTGAGAATGTTTGACTGTAAGACTGTATGAAAATAGAAATGAGCTGGATAAGAATACTGGATGACCTATCTGTTGTTTTTAAATAATCTGAATAGAATTCAAAATCTTAATTCTTTATCTTGTTTATCTTACATTTCATTTCATGACTCCCAGCAATATTATTTTCAGGGTGAGTGAAAGCTTCCAAAGATTTCTGAACACTTCCTATCCAGGGCTGTAATACCAACCAGACAAAGCAGGAAACTTTACTGGGGCTCCAGACCCCCAAGAGGCCACCGAAAGTATCTGTTTCACCGTGTGCCAATCCGTTTGTGGACTGATCAACTGTAAGTTTGTTTGGAAAAATGTAAAACTGTAGGTTCTGCTTTATTACCTGATCTTAAGATCCTGTGTTGACGTGTCAAATTCTTTTACAGTTTTGTTTTAAAAGCTTCAACAGCTTGCATATTTTAGCTGATATTGTGCATATTTGTGTTTAATCAAATGAGCACACAGCAAACCTGACTGAGGTTATAGCATCCAATAATGTAATAATTCCCTGAATATATAATAACGCTTAAAAATGTAATAAAATTTGCACTTCGCTTGACTAAAATGTAACGAAACACCATAAATGTAATTACTTGACCATACATGTAATAAAATGTCCTGACTGATGCTGACATTATTGGGAATTTATTACACAATGCAAAGCGGGGCTAATCAAGAAATAAATCACGAAATAAATTTTCAGGGATCTAAAAGGTAACCAGAGAGACCCAACGCGTTAAAGTGTTAAAAAGATTTAGAAGAAAAAAGAGAAGAGTTTGGTTACGCCCTACTACGCCCTCTACATGAAGCCTTGAGTTAACATTTCCATAAACATTAAATCAGTGTCAAATCAGTGTTTAAGTGTCATCAGAAGGCTAACAATGACATTAACATTCATTCATTCATTCATTCATTCATTCATTCACTCAGTCATTATCTTTTACTGCTTATCCTGTTGGGGGTCATGGGGGGCTGGAGCCTATCCCAGCTAACATTAGGCAAGAGGTGGGGTACGCCCTGGACAGGTCACCAGATTGTCCCAGGAGACGCTGCCGTTTCCAAAAAGTTGCACTCTGGAACCCGTTTTCAAAACGTTGCGTTTTCAGGCACCCAAAACGCAGCGGTCGTGTAAACGATCGTCCAAAACGCAACTAAAATTTACCATTTTCAGTTGAAATCATTGTCGTATAAACGGGGCCTGAGAGTCACCAATTAACCTAATCAGCCTGTCATTGGACTGTGGACCCTGAGGTTCAAACCCTCCACCCTAGGTTCAAACCAGGAACCCTCTTGCTGTGAGGAAACAATGCTAACCACTGCACCACCATGCCGCCTATGACACTGACAGCTGTATCATTTTTGTATACCTGCACATTTTACATGTCTGAGAAAAAAAGCATGCTTTACATTTTATTACACCATCGATTTAAAAAAACAATTATGTTATTGGGTACAACAGGGGTCACTATAAACTGCTGTTGCTCCTCAACCTTTGAGACTAACAAGAACCAAATCAATGCACATCATTAAAAAATGCTTTTATGTTTCCGTTTTGTTTTTGTCATTTCCTCCTTCTCCTATAGCACATTGTAAGTTTGGTTTTGAAAGGGGTTTTATAAATACAGTCTGCTTTTGCAAAAAAAACTTTTGCACAGGGAGTGGGAGGTCTTACATCCTAGCAGACCACGGGCTATTTACTACAACCATACTTATATCTGTTTTAAAAAACAAAGGCACTAGTGTGTAAGTCTGAATTTAAGCAAATTCATATGTATTTTAGTCCTAGTAATATTTTCTTGTAACCTTGGAGTGGAGTTAAAATAATTTGTTCTAACTTTTAATAAAGTAACAAAAAGGAAAGTGACTGGCACCTTAATTCCTACATCTAAAGTGGTGAAATGATATTTATGAGGCCTCATGAGATACTCACAGCGATGATATCCAGTGTGTTGTCACAGACTTTGCGAATCTCTGCGTTGTTATCATGCATCAGGTCGATGAGGTACACAGGGGCTTCTGAGACCAGGACTCAAGGAAAGAAAACATTTCATCCTCTCTGGGGTGTTTCAATGAAGAATCAATTGTTCTGTGTCCTCAACGATGAAAGAGGGAAATATGGGAATGTGGTGGTATTGTGGTTATTCTTTCATTTAGAGACAGAGACAAAAGACAGGTGCCCTGCGGCTGAAGGGGCCGCTGTCTACATTTCCTGTGATGAAGTGAACACTTTCCTCCCACAGCGCTGCTTACATCAGATATTCCTGTTATATATATTCTTCCCGCAGAAAGAAAAACATCAATCAGAACATGCTGACAGAGAGCATATTTGTAATTTGACACAAGCCGCTGCCACCAACCACAACTGTGTACAATTACAGGCAGCTTAGAATACCCAGAGGGTTAAAAACAACTAAATCGAGGGGTTAAAAGAGGCTGCTATGGAGATGCAGATGGGAATAAACTGTGAGGAGAGGTTCATACAGGGCAGTACTATGAGTTACTATAGAAACATACACTAAAGACTGGACATAAAGTACTTCTGTAGAGCACCAAAGAACAACTTTATATGCAGCCACTGTCAAAATAACTGTGCTGGAAGCTACAGGGCATTCTTGTTGATGTCTTGCATCTATTAATGTTTATCTCATCTAATGGGACAGAAATGTCTACAATAGTTTACTAATTAGTAAAAGGATACGTGTGTCTTTGACGATGACGTCCCTGGTAGCTTTGTGAAAGACCATCTGGTAGAAGACGTAGACAATCTGACACACAAACTCATCATCCTCTTGTTGGGCTGACATGGAAACAGAAAAGAGGGAAAAGAAATGAACAAGGACTCATTTTAGAGTAGACTTTGTCATCATTCATCAACGCGGTTGGATGAAGCTGAACTTAAAGCTGTTTTTCGTTTTGTTTCCCATCTCGAACTGTATTTTCATAACAATACTTGCTATATATAGCAACTTAGCACCCCATTTAAAACACCCTCTTCACATATTATAAATATATATTCAAATGCATTTTGAAAACCAGGAAGTGACACAGGAGCCCTCACTATGTAGCTTACTCCTGTTATGCCCGATTAAATTATGCTCTTATAGAAATCTGACGGAGTTGACAAAAATCTGGGACACATCTTTAAAGGGCCAACATTTTCAGTTCAAATAAATTTTAAAACAAACATGATTATAGCAGCACATTTTTACAGTGACAATTTCTGACGCAATTAATCGCCCAGAGTTTTTTTTTATCATGACAGGCCTAGCATAATAACAATAGTCAAGTGTTTAATAAAGTAGTTGAAACTAGCTCCACCTCCAGCAGCTACAACAGTAACATTCTGCTCTAACACTGATGCTTCAGTATTAATAATCTAATGATGTCATATATCATAATATCAGTCAGAGGAACCAAACACTACTTTTAGCCTACTGCAATACTTTAAAGACACTTTTCTCTCTTAGAACTGGTTCTTATGACGTGTTGTCTGACCACATCAGAAATCAAATGTATTTATCATTCTGAACAGCTTCAAGGTGGAGTGAATGTTAAAATAATTAGGTAATAAACATCAAAACACAACATTAGATGTCATATTTGGGTTTATATTCAACTAAGGTAGGTATTGCGTGATCCATGTACTGTTGTTTTTTTTTTTGTTGTTGTTTTTTACTGTAACTGAAACGCAACACGGGAACGGGATGGGACAGGAGTCATTCTTGTGGGACTGGGACGGGACGGGATTTTTTTTTTCGTTTTCATGGGATTATTTTTGTGGGACTGGGATGGGACAGGACTGAAAATCCCCTCCTGTGTCACCCTGTATACTGTGCTACATTTGTATAGTGTAAGCATCTTTGTTACTTTACTTGCAGGAATAAGAAAAAAGTTAAATACACTTAATATTATTTGATCTTATCCACCATTACCTGCATTCCAAATATTGTGGAGGTGTGTGGTTTAGGTGCCCTAAATACCCCTATATTTTCTAGTGAGACATTGCCACCCCAGATGATCACATAACCATCCTGGCCACCCCACAGAAAATTTTTTAGGACATGATTTCTCCCACTTCAAGAATATGTGTTAAATAAAGGAACATTTTTATGTGGATGGAAGACAGTAACTTTAAAAGGTGTACTCCAGCAACGTATTCTCAATCATCCATTAAATTAGAGGATTTGAGAGAGACAGAAATATCCTGACTTTTAGTCCCTTGCATAAAAGAAATTAAAAAACTGGAACCCATATTTCATAATGCTTTTGAAAGCTATAGTACAGGATTTGATACTTACCATTGAGCAGCTCAATAAGAGCAGGAATGATACCAGACTTGGCCAACATGGCTGCACAAGAGTCATCCATAGACACGGTGCCGATCACGATCACCACTTCCAGAATGAGGTCATCCTCAGCAGAACCTGACATCAGGGAAAAGTACAAGTTGAGTGGATGACTGACAAAGAAAGACAAACATCTGGCCTCTGAATACCCGCAGAACGGAGTGCTGTGCCAGAGAAAACATCCATGTTCTGTGACTTTATGGGTTTACATCTGTGTGACCAAACGCAGCTGATGGAGTTCAGTCTTCTGACTGCTGTGTCTTAAAGCCAAAGCAATCTGGTAACCTATGCTTCCAAAATATAATGTGATAAATAAAATGGCTGTTTGCCATTTGTGTCTGAGGACATCTATTTTACTTTAAAGGATCCCCAGTGGCTCACTTTAAGATCAATAAATGACTCATCAAGGGTCCAGTGGTGGATGAAAGAGGGCTGGTTTCCTGCCCAGAACACCATCAGCACTGGTAAAAAAACTCAATAAAGGTCAATACATTTTTAGCACTGACTGAAACGTGGCTGTAGGAGCTGGTACTGAAAACAATCACTGAAAGTCAGGAGGGAATGTCAGATTAGAGCCATACTGTTCTTTCTTCATTTGTTGATGACACAACTGATTTTAGTAACAATTCTGTCAATTTTAGACCAACGTATGTCAAAGTTTTCAATTGGCAGCTCGTGTTTAGACAGCATAAAAAATGTGAAAAACTTGGGCTCTCTGGTCCTGCACTGATATCAAAAAATCATATGGACAAAGAGAAGTGCCACTGGGCCTGATTCAAAACCCAAACAGAGGGACAAAAAGAGTTCTTGTTAAAAACTATAGTTGGAGAGTCCACTTAAGACTACACAGGTCCAAACTGTGGACTTGATGTGAAAGGAAATCATGGAAAACCTACCCAAAGCATCAATTCAATTTCAAAAACAAGGGACCTATTTAAAAAAGGACCCAACAACTGTGAATCAACAAGCAGAAATACCCATAATTTTCAGAGTGCCTCAGAAAGTAACGGCACACCACCTGATCACTAGGGGTGTAAAGCACAAGTTTCAACAAGTCACAATACTATATCTATTCTTTAAACATTTTGAGTATTTGCCGATATCACAAAGTCTTCCACAATACAATTTCTAATCGATTCAATTCAGGAGCCAGTGACTGATATTAGGCGATATTAGTAAATGTCCCCATTGTCTTTTTCCTCACTGCTTACCATTATCTGCCTGGCGCCAGGCCACCAGCACTGTTTGAATGTTTAGGAAGGTGTGCTTGAATGGAGATGGTGACACAGAGGTGCCATGGGAAAATCAAAATAAATAAAGGTCTATCTTAAAGATGACAATATGTATCAATGTTTTCACTTTGCATCAATAATACTGGATCATTTATCATTGAATAAATACATCAATCCACATCCATGTATTGTTACACCCCTACCTGAAATGTGTCCACTCTGGTATTAGAAATATTCACACACAGACCTGAGACTTAATACAGGATTCTAACAGACCAGATTTGGACACAAAATAACTTGTGTAACAGCGATGCCAGGTCTTACTTATTAGTTACACTGACAATGTAAAGTACAATGTGCTACTTTCCTTCATCCTAGTGTATATGATTCAACAAAAACATGAGGAAGGTTGTCCTGGTGACTCTCGGCCAAGCTGGACACTGTACGCAGGTTTCTCTTTAGTTCTTCCAACTTTCTGTCATTCTTCACTATTACTGTACTATCATACAGTGTAAATTAATTAACCTGAATGAACTGCTCTAGACTTTCAATTCTCCTTTAAGGGAGACAAAAGCTGAGGGTAAGAAGGTTTGTGGATACAGTTTTAAGAGATATCGCAAAAACATTTTCACCATGTAACAAAAAACTCTGCAGAAGTTTATCAAGATCATAAAAGTCCATGTTGTTAGTCAAATGGTCTTAACACACACCTGGTTTGAGTCGGTTTTTCAGGTAGGGCACCAGGTTGTACTCCTTAAGCACCAGCGCCCAGTCCAGGTCAGGGATGGTGAGATTGGCCAGCGTGCCAAGACATTCGATCACAAACTCTTCAGCCTCCTCCTCGTTGATCTGAGCTGCCAGGTCGCCGACGTGGTCCTACCAACACACACACACACACACACACACACACACACACACACACACACACACACACACACACACACACACACCCAGGTCAATTAGATTTGCTTTAAAATTTGGCCTGATATAGACAAACATGAAAAACACAATTCCACTACAGATTTGACTTGGTGCCATATTCCCTGGTTGTGTTTATGTAACTCTTCAAGATGTTTTCTATCCTTACCATCATTTAGAGGTTTGTGGTGTTGTTGCTACGTTTCAGCTAGGCATACCATATAATGTTCATTTCAGAGTAAGGTAGGCTGCTCAGAAATACCATCAAACCAACCATCAGCTTTTATGCCTGTAAGTTTTCCCCACACATTAAATCTCTCTTTATATGAAGAGATGGAAGAGAGTGTCCATGTTCCAGCTATTATAAGAAGGCGACTGGACACTGAACTTTAGTGCAGTCAAAACTCATTTTCTTCAGTTTTATACTGTAACTCCTGTTGTTTCTTTTTCTTATCAAATGAATACATTTTCATTCCTTGGGCAATGTAAAGAGGAATCATAGAGCCTTTTCAAAACCAGACCCTCCCCACTCCCAGTTCGTCATGGAGTCTAACTTTGTCTCAGCTCAGTGTGTGACAGTATCTTGTGTTTTGCTTATTTGTCAACTATGGTATATGGTGTTGAGTGTACACACAAAGCTACACACTGGATTGATTTTAATCACTTTAATGTACTTGAAGTGTGCACTGTGCAGTTGTGCTGTATTGGATTGGTACTCTGTATCAGCAGATACTAAATATTAAAAAAACTTGATCGGGACATCCCTATTTAAATAACTCTTAGTCTGCTTAGTTTCCTTTAGTAAGGGTAGTCACACAGAACTTTATTTATACAAATTATCTTCTATGTCAAACACAATACGGCATTGCATATTGTCAGTTAAATACTGTTTCCTGCACAGTAAAAATGGAGGCTGAAAAATCTGAGATCAAACAGTAGAACTAAGAAGCACTGATCAAATATGAATCAAGATTCTGTTACCAAGTTGCCCATTTCTCTCCTTTGGGAAAAGCTCATAATGTTGCTGTAGAGTCACTAAGTTAGCCATGGGCCACACCTGAGCCCAGTTTTTTTCTTCAGCTTGTATGTCTTTACAATTCGGTGAATCTGCAGCATGACAAGTCATGCTACTACATACCACTAGCAGGACCTTAATATATGATTTTTGATCATATTCATATGGTATTTATTGTAGGATTGCACACACAGCTACTGTATCACTGAAAATAGTAAGTGCAGGTGATTCCAGCAGTATGTGTTTATTAATAATTGACTACAACATTGTCTGATAAGAATCAATGAGGTTATGACTGCAGTATCACCATACAAATTATGAACAGTTAGATAAATATGCTCTAATATCAGCCATTAAGACTCTCAGGTTGGTAAAGATGAAGACTTTATATACTAGGCCACCAGGAAGCCCAGAACTGTTTGAGTTTGTAAGACCATGTACTGACCAGAAAGAGGCCCTTAGTGGGTCCACTGTGCTGAGAAAGATTTCTGATCATCTTCATCACCAGAACATCCTTCAACTTCAAAGCACGCTTCATTAGTATCTTCAGTCCGTTACCTGAGGCAATACAGAGAAAGATTTTAACAACATAGACCGGGATATAATGCCATTTTCCAAATATATTGTTTATCTTTTCTTTGAAGCTTATACCTTCACAGATGACCTTTGCATTACTCTTGTTAGCAGCCAGGTTGATGCAGAGTGAGATGAGCTCAACGTCCATCTTCTCCTCCCTGCACTCAAACACCATCTTCATCAGCTGTCAATCACAGGTTCCACATGTCAGTTAACCACTTAATTAATTCATCTCTGAGATTCAAGATAACATAATCCATAATACATATCTGCAGCCATGTGTTTAGCATGTTATAATAACCTAACCCAGTGTGGCATCGTTGTGAATTTTTTGGTCAACCGCATCTAATGTGAGCTAAAACGACAGCAAAGACAGGACACATTTCTTCATGTGTGTGACTGAATGTAATGCGTCACTGAAAAACCTCCAATTTTTAAAGAGCATCCCTGAAATCTTCTCCAGCCTTGTTAAAGCCAGTCATTACGGTTTGAGCATTGGAGAGTAAGGTAGAGTGAGGAAAAGAAACCAGAAACTGATTTCAAAAAATAAGGGTGCTTTTTTAAGTAAGTAAGGAAGAAAAAGAGTATTAGTGATAAAGGGAAGGCAAGTCATTCCTTACCTCCCAAACACCCACCACCACCTCCGTATCCTCATCCTCCTCCCTCCCTTCTTCCCTCTGTCTGTCTGTCCCTCCCCTGCACTGATTTAACATTAAACAGGAAAAGCTTTGAGCTGGGGGGGGGGGGGTGACAGAGGTGCACTGCTTCCCTGTGAGGAGTCAGGAATCAGAGAGAGGGAGAGAAAGGCTGGGCCGGGCCTGGGTTAGGTATCACATACCAGGGGCCCCGCACCCCAAATCAGCCCCGTCTAGACTCTCTGGCACCTGCCTCTGCTTATTTACCACAGACAGCCACCGGAGGCCCAGTCAGGGCCCACGCCATGCTGCAGTCCGACCAACGCAGCCACCTCCGCCCCCCACCTTCACCTCCACCTCCACCTCTGTTGCTCTCCTCCCTCACTCCTGACATCCCTGCTCTGGAAACCCTACATCTAGCACCAAACAGTGACCCCATTAAAAGCTGGAGAAGGGGAAAGGGGCAGGTCAGTCACCAGCCTGGGAAAGTGATAAAAGAGAGAGGTCCTAAAAGTACAAAATAGGTGAGAGAGGATGAAAAGGTGGGAAATGGGGTAAAGCAGTTAGCTGACGATGTATTTTACAAACAGGACAGATGAAGGGACATGTAGTTATTGTACAGGACAAAAGAGGTTTTGGTGTGGGGAGTTGAATTATGACTTCAGTGAGGACGAGGGTTGATAAAGAAACAAAATACACTAAAAATGAATCACTGAGACTAAGACAAAGATGGCAAAATTTTAAAACCTTGCGTGAATATGACACTCATCTTAAGTGTGTTCAAGTCATTTTGAACAAAGCCAGGGAAAAAATGTGAAATCTCTTGTAGTCACCTCAGCAAACATCTAAGGAGCAGTGGGACAGACAGTCTTGTGCTCCATCATCACCTATATGTTAGTACAGGCAAACCTTTTCTGTTGTCATGACACTGAACAAACTTGGAGTAATTTTTTGACCATTACTTGATAGATGCTACTTGTTCATTAAATGAACATTAGCTCCTGCTGTTCTGCCGTTAATCCAATCACTATTTTATGATCACATCACTGTCAGCCACTGACAAAAATCAGTATTAATACAGATTAATATCAAGCAGCAACAGCCAAGGCTGAAAAATGAAGCCAACACAGAGGTGCAAAAAACTGCAGTTCTCTGAACAGCCACTTGTGGCTGGCTCCCCACAGACATGCATGTAAATATGTCCAGCTTTACAACAGAAATTAACATCTTTACAGCTTGGTACAACAAACGGTTTTGGTCTCTGTGGCTTATTTCCTGACTTGACAACTGTAACACAAAAGCCACAGCCTCCGACATGTCGGTAAATTTTTATATAACTCACTGGTTTACATTTTATTAAGGCTTAAAGTTACACATGATAAATGGCAGGCTGTCTGCTGAGTCCCCTCACTCCTCCATAGCGCCACCACTCTTGCCCAAATATGGTCACTTCTGGCTCCAAAAACCAAGATGGTGACGGCCAAAATGCTGAAATAGGGTTCAAATTGGGAGTCAATAAACCAATGGGTGACATCATGGTAGCTATGTCCATTATTTTTACAATCTGTGGTTAATGTATGATCAGCTACACTTGTAATTAAAATGAGTGACGACAGGCCGGACTATTACTAGCATTTTAAACATACCAACCTATTTAGAAAGAGTATTAAGAAAAAAAATAAAAAAAATAAAAAAAATATAAATTTTACTTTGTTCTTTTACCTTTTCAATTATATCACTGGCAAATTTTCTTGCTCTGTAATTCTGGTGAAAAACACTGAATCCTTTTTATTTCAAAATTTTTTAAAACTTTTTCTGGACTGTCCAACGTAATTTAAATTCATCATAATCAGCCTGTTTCATATAACTTTATAATGTAACTATTTGTCATCATTATTAAATTCTTAAAATACAGAGAATTGTCTTTTAAATCTTACTGACATACATCCTCTGACCTTGACTTAGCAGGCATTTGTATTGTTGTTTTCCAAGCTTTGTTTATCTCATCAACAATAAAACACAAGACTGAATTTTTAGATTAACCCACTGTGGCTTTGTTTAACGAAAAGGTCAAATTGGAGAGAAAAAGATGCACCTTCACTTTTAACTGAGTGTGGACTTACTCTGAGCAAAAGATGGATGGACAACATTAGAAAAATGAAGGCCGAAGAGGGTAGTGAGGGAGAGTGAGCGGGCCTCAGGGCGGGGTCAGAGGTCACATCCTGGTCATGCTGCTAGCCAGCATCCTTTCTACCACGGGGGAGCCTGGGGTTCAGATCTGCTGCTGACATGACCCTCTGAACAAACAGCAGACTCTCTCGGCCACATCTGGCCGGCATTTACACCCAATCTCGACAAACAAACACAACGCGCATTTAGCTAATCGCCGATGATGAGAGGAGTGACTGACCGGGTCAACTCAATCAGGAGGGAGTGTAACTTGACAAAAATGTTGTGATCGAAAGTTGAAAGAAGTTAGCCTGAGGGGGTTTCGAACTTCAGCAGTAAACTTGATTTGAAGAATCACAGTTTCATTCCATTTTGGACAAACTGTGTTTCTGTGCTGGTGTCCCAGTTTTGTAATGCTAATTAAGAGGCTAACATGTGGAGAAGATGCAGAAAAGAATGAAATGGCACAAGGATGTTTTCAGGAAAGAGAAGGAAAGAAGAAAAAAGCAGAGTTGTCATCACAGCGAGAGCAAAGACTGAGCAGCAGTCCTCTGGTGGTTTTTGGTTCCAGATGTGGTGTGCGTCCCTCCCTCTTGCTGTGTTTCTCATGCATTAATTCCCGGGTGCCGTTAGCTGCTGATGCTAATGTGTCTGTCTTGGTCTGCTGGCGGTGTACATTAGCCAGTCTTACCTGCGGTATGCAGTCTGTGTCGGCAAACATGGACTTGAATCTGTCGTCCATGCTGATGTGGTACAGAATGCACATGCTGAGCTGTCTCTGGCCCTCGTCAGCTGCAACATAAACACAGGAGGAGGAGGAAAGTCAATGGATGAATGACTGGTTGTGCCGTAACGCTCTGCGGGATGCCAATGACCACATCTAGGCGAGCTGTGTGTTTTTTGAAAATATTAATGAACTGAATGGCCTTTTTAAAAGCAATGCCCGTTGGAGGTCAAATGGCATTCGGTGCAGACTCAGCACCAGTCGACTGCAGTTTCTCAGTTTGTCATGTCTCACGGACAGCTAACCAGAGGAAAAACAATATTTAAAGGTTAAATGTGAACTGCAGCAGGCTATTGACGGAAAAAGGACAAGCTTTTTATGCTGCTTAAAGGGACAGTTATCCCAAATTACAAAAAAATATATTTTCACTTTATTTAAGCAGATTTTGAGATATCCAGATTTCTCTTCCAAAACAATGGAAGTGAATGGAAATGTCTTTGTGCTGCTCATAGCATTTATGAAGAAGTCTGGTGATATTCTGTATTTTCTTATTGTCAATAAATCTCATCTGCAGACACAATGCAGCAGTGAATGTATCTACAGATAAGTATTGTGTCTTGTTCCTGTGTGCCATAAAGCTCCACTGTATTAGAAAACAACAACAACTATTAAACACATCAGTGAGCCACATAGGTGCACTGGGTGACATGTTGCTTCATTACTATGATCACATAGACTGTAGATTAATTTGACTGAACCCAACATACACCGTCCTGCTGCAACAAATACTTACTAGAGCACCAAATCTGGATTAATCCACCGCTGAAAATAGTCCCCAAATGTACTATTTTCTTCTGTTTGAGTAAGCCTGTTTTTAAAAGTTACATTTAATTTTATCTATGTACTATTGTACTACTGGGAGGTATTTTCAAAAGGTACAATATGTAGGATTGTTGGTTACTGTTTTTAAACACGTCCACCAGCGAAAGAAGAAGTAAAAGCCAACCCCAGATTTACTCTCATTTAATGTGTCACCTTACTAAATCTGCGGGGGGGGGGGGTTCAGCATGTGTGTGCCTCTTGGATGCCTGCTGCTTACAGTCTGGCAACTGGTTCCTACTTTTTTATAAAGCCCCGACCTCACCTGGGCACTGTGGGGGTACACACCCATTCAGGTCCAGACACAGAAAATAAGAAGAATCTAAGAAAATACAGGGAGAGTCTGCACAAATAATAAACCACCACACACTTCTAGCAGGTCATGTGTGAGGACTGAGAGAGATTACTTCTGTATGAGTCAATACATTGTTTTTTGGGGAAAATCCTGCATAGTATGTCTTTAAATATTTACATCTACAGCAGGAACCAATTGGGTTTGAGCTGAAAGTCACACACACATAAAGTCATAAAGTAGTGACAGACACACTAACATGTTGTTGTTTGGTTTTACACATGGAACTTATTGACAGTAAGAGAAGAAACTTCTCTTTCCCCTCCAGAAACAGTGATCCAGTTACTAGTTAGGATCTTCCACAGACCTCACTGTGTACAGTTTACATAGGGTCTATTTCTACGGTAGAAAGCAGTTCCAATGAAAACTGCAGACAGTGGGGTCTGTGGATTATCCAGAGTAACCGACACTGTTTTTGGAAAGACAAATTCATGGTAATTTTTTTTTTCTTTTTTTTTGAAACTGCATTAATAATTTTCTTGCTACTTGGAAGCAGCAGAACAAGCTCAAAAGCAACATCTTTTACATTACAGGCAATTCATCTATTGTTAATATTAAAATATGGTGTAATGCAGCTTTAAATATTGTTTTTTAATGCTACAAATTAAATTCTATCCACCTCTATTATATTTTGAACTAAGAGACGGACATATCAAAATCTGGACAAATAAAACCAAAACTATCCACATGAATAGACGCAAAAAGAAAATAGGTTTTCTTTTTGCAATTTGGGTGAACTGACCCTTTAATATTTGTCCAGAAAAAATGACTACATCCCCTGTCACTACAGTTGTGTGAGTTTATCAAGCCTCGGCAGCAGCATGACGGAGATAAGAGACTGAATGGATTGAGTGTTAGACTGTCAGTGAGCCCAGGACCTTTATGAGTTTGACCTCTGACCAGAGCTGAGGGGGGGTGGAGGCCTGGGGGAGGAGCCAGCCTGGGAGAATTAATAGAGTTCAGACCAGAGTTTGACCCGGGAACTTTTCATTAAAAGAAGTGTTAAGAGAGAGGCTCTTCACTGGACCAGAACCACCGACAGACCTCCTGTAATGCCCACCAGCCTCCAAAAGCCCCAACCAGGTCCAGTTAAAACTGGTCCCAGCCGTGTTCGGTCACTGGCCGTACAGGGAGCCTTATCGCTGAGTATTAGATCCAGATGTGCTCAGTGCAGCCCTGGAATCACAGGAGGGAGAGACGGCTTCTAGCTTTAATTGGGAAAACAGGAGGAAGCATCAATTTTACTGCCTTTAATAAGTTAAAGCTACGCTGCTCTGGACCTTCCAGCGCAGCTAGCGATTGGCCAGAACATGTGCTTCTCATTAGTGATCCTTTACCTCAACCAATACCTTAAAATACACAACCAAGTACACGCGCGCACACACACACACACACACACACACACACACACACACACACACACACACACACACACATACATGCTCCTCCAGACCCTGCGGACTCCCTCACTTTGCTAGTAGGAACATGGAGGATCCTTTATGGGCGAACAGAGAGATCCCATTAAATGTTCAAAACACTGCTAGGGTTGGAGCAAGAGAGAGAAAAAAAGGTGAGGGGGAGCTGTTAAGAATTAACTAGACTGTTCAGGGGCAGTTAGTGGGAGAGCTAAACTCCAATTACACCCCAGCCTGATTTAAAACCGCCTAACCTTCGTAAAATTACACCCGCACACATTAAGAGGCGTCTGGGCCCACTCTGCGGACAGCACTGCTCCGTTGTTATTGCATTTTTTGGATAAATAAGCAAGCTGGGTTTGGTCTTCTGAGACATCACACACCACATAACAGGGTACAATGCTCTTAAAGAGGTCCACTCCCCACTCAAGTCTCCTAATTTGGTTTTGCAATGTAATGACAGTCAACATGCTACGTCACAGGAGGAAAAAAAGTCAGGCTGATGCTGTAACTAATGATCGTGTTAAAACATCATAATTAATTAACCTCTTGATTGTTTTTTTGATACATAACTATTTGCATCTCATATCGACAATCAAAACCCAAAGATACTCAGATTACAGTGTGATATAACAGACAAAAAGCAGCCCATTCGAGGATGTTGGTATTTTTGTTTGATAAATAAAACTAAACAGCTTATGAATTGTCAAAATTGTTGCTAAAACTTTTTCTCTCCATCAACTTATTGTTTCAGTTCTAGCTGACACATTCATCTTCATTATCTACTTATCCACCAATGCTCTTTAATACATCAATTTATTGTTTAGTCTATAATTGTGATACCAGAAAAGGTTCTCATGATAAATCTGATACAGGATTTAAAGGGACAGTTCACCCTCAAATCAAGAATACATATTTTTCCTCTTACCTGTAGTGTGATTTATCAGTCTAGATTGTTTTGGTGTGAGTTACAGAGTGTTGGAGACATCGGCTGTAGAGATGTCTGCCTTCTCTCCAGCATAATAGAACTAGATGGCACTCAGCCTGTGGTGCTCCAAGCACTAAAAGTACATAAAAGACCTCAGCAGCAATGTCTCTTTCCAGAAATCATGACCCAGTTACTCAAGATAATCCACAGACCTTGTTGTGAACAGTTTCATGTGGGAACCATTACCTTTCAACTGAACTACACTAGACAACCAAATCACTGCACAGAGCTAGTTAACGTTACAGCTCAGCTGAGGGGGACACTGTTAATGTTTACATCTCACACTGTCATGAGCTTCTCGTCCATGAGTAGGTGCACACTTCCTTCTGCACTGTGATTCAGTTGGCGGGTGCAGTTTGGTAGAAAGAAAATAGTTCCTACATTAACTGCTCACATCAAGTTCTGTGGAGGATCCTGAATAACTTGTTCATGATTTGGAAAGAGACAAATGTTTTTATGTGCTTTGAGCACCACAAGCCCTAAGTTTAAGTTAAGTTTAGTTTAAGTCTATTTACTTTATTAATCCCCTGAGGGGAAATTCAATGTTTTCACTCTTGCTTGTCAATTAAACACAGGTCCGAAAGACACACACGCACAAACAGGACCTATACATGCACAAAGTGGAGAGATGTCAGAGTGAGGGGGCTGCCCTTGGTGAGGCGCCCTGAGCGGTTGGGGGGTTCGGTGCCTTGCTCAAGGGCACCTTGGCAGTGCCCAGGAGGTGAACTGGCACCTCTCCAGCCACCAGTTCCATATTTTGGTCCGGACGGGGACTCGAACAGGCAACCCTCCGGTTCCCAACCCAAGTCCCTATGGACTGAGCTACTGCTGCCCCACTACTACCGCACTACTTCCATTATATAGGAGAGAAGGCAGACATCTCTGCCGATATCTCACACACTCAGCAACTCACACCAAAATAATCTAGACTGATAAATACCGCTACAGGAAGGAGGAACATTATGTTTAATTTTAGAGTGAACTGTCCCTTTAGGTTTTAATGCTTGTTATTCTGACTGTTCTCAGATTGTTGAGAAACAGTGGTTGAACTGCTTACATTTCATGTCCACACATTAAGACCAGAAGAATCTGCAGTGTCATATTTGGGATATAAAGCCCTAACATACTCCATACCAGATTGAAAATACCACATTGATCTGTCTATACACTTTACTGAGAGTCATCATGGGTGGATGTGTGACGAATTTTACATCAGAAGAATGGATTAATGAGGCTAGACACTACTTCTATATAAAATGTTAGAAAAGATGAAAAAAACAACAACAACAAAAAAAAAAAAAAACACACAGTCCCAAAGACGTTTTTTAAATGCCTCATTTTGTCCACACAAACTTTCCAAAACTAAAAGATATTCAGTTTACTGTGACATACCCAGGGAAAGGCAGCATGTGCTCACATAGACAGCAGAGTGTGTTTGGCTGTGCTCTGATTTTCAAAATTGTCAATCTGGAAATCCATCGGTTAAAAAAAAAAAGATTTTTTTTCTTCCTTTATAATGTAAATTGCAGAATCTGTCTGGAGAGATTACAAAATTGTTGACTTAAGTTCTGTTGATCAATTAATCAAAAAATTGTTTCTGCAATACCTGTAAAACATAAATGCAAAAATGAAGATGCAGTGACAAAAAGGAATCTTCTACTTTCTGTTAAGTTCAGGCAGTGGTGGGATGGATCGAGTGGGAGATGATGATGACAAGTGGAGGATCTAACTCCACTTTCATCTTATCATCAGGGGCCGTGACCTCTGTTCGGGTCTGGATGGAGAGAGTGGAGGTTGACATACCAGTCCCCTGGCTGCCTTCTTTCTTCATAGATAAGGCAAGAGTCCTCATGCAGAGTGTGTCAGTTGAAAAGAGGACAGTCAGCAGTGAAAGCAGATGATTAATGACACATGCGCTGGCATACAGAGAGCATTACACACATGCACAAACACACAAATACAGGCAAACTCAACAGTGTCAAAACTGTGAGCAGGCGTAATATTTCAGCGTTAAGTTATATTATGTGTGCGCCTCACTTCCTGAATGAGCAACCCCCACCCACCACTTCCCAAATCTCTGAAGACCTCTCCACCTCTCCGGCCTGCTCCTGCAAAAACAACATTTGTGCAGAGGCTCTGGCATGTTATTCTAACAAATATATTATATTAATTATGCGCCGTTACTCGAGCCTCCCCCTGAGAGGCTTCAAAAGGCCCGTCAGAGATGCTTCTGACCGTGTCACACGACCTCGCGGATGAGACAACGCACCAATTGCACCACTATGGAGCTTTCAGGGGGTCACTGCTCTAATGGTCACCAGAGGCAGCTTGAGGCCTGGGTGCTGTGTAAAAACTGCACCTGCACATACGCCTGAGTAATAACAAATTAGAGGCTCCACAGGCGATTCAGGAGGGATGAGTGTTTCTCATGACTTGTCTGTTTCTCTTACTGAAAGCCTGGAATTATGATTTCCCTGATGCAGAGGCAAATACATACAACCTTTGTCATAAACACACACAGTGAACCAGTATAACCTATCCATGGGAACAAACACAAGCAGTACATGGTCAGATTGATTACCAAGCAATGAGGAGACTTTAGGAATGAGTCCTGCCTGGACCATCTGGCTGCGCAGCATTGTGTCAAAGGAGAGGTTGAGCAGGAGGCGCAAGTTGGTGCTCAGGAGCTCCTCGTGCTCGCAGGGAACCAGCCGAGCCAGCTTCTCCACAGCAAATGTTTCAGCCTGCAAACAAAAACAGACACAGCAAGTCAAACTTCCAGGTTCTGCAGCCATTAAGGAACACCCTCTCCCAGAATCCCCCCGGACCAGCATGATTTAAATGTTAGCAGCTTGACAGACTTTTATGCCAGATTTTTACAGGTTAGAGCTTAAATGTTTGAATGATGACACGTAGAGAGCATGGGTGGATATCATGGATAAAAGAGGCACAGTTAAAATGATGTGTAATACCCACACTGTCATGCTGGAAAGATTTCACAGGAGGAGAACAAATTAACCATCTATTGCTTTATTAAAATCAGGTTCTAATTTGTAATGGCAAGTGCTGCAGTAGATGCTAATTTTTCTTAGAATATGGATAGAACATAGAAATATGTTTCACTTTTTAGAAAGACTGCTGGGCTTGTTTTGTCACTGATCTGGAATAAAAAGTGGGGCAATATTGATTTAACTGTATGTCTTGATAAAAAAACACAAGGTTTTTAATCATCTCAGTGTCGTGCTGCATTACTCACTAGTCACTAGAAAAAACTTTTTTGTCCATTGTAATTTTTTTTTTTTTTTTAAACCTTTGCATAATTTTTTAAGGATCCAAAATAAAATTTCCATTTCACAAAAGCATGTGCTTCACTGTGTCTGCCAGACTTGCCAACCTGCTTATGGTACTTTTTTAAACACACAAATGCAGCAGAGTTTCACTGTCTGCCACTGCTCTGCATCAGCTTTCTTAAAGGGGAAGGCTTGGTCTGTATTAGTCATGGAAAATAAAGAGTGTGATTTGCCTTACTTGGCACTGCACTGCAATGCGACTATTGCACATCACAATGTCAATGCTGAAACAATATATCGTGCAGCCCTAATTGACATATTGTAGCACCATTCTGTCAACAGCTATCTTACAGAAAATAATTTTGCTGTTACATTACAGAGAAGATTACTGTAACAATCACTTTCGGTATACACAACAAAATTCCATGCGGCCCTGTGGTCAAACTGTCAAACTAGGCAGGGCCAATCAAACAGGAATCAAGATTCTCTAACTACAGTTCATAAAAGTACATACAGCCTTAAGTGTATTTTGCTGATTGTACTTCTACTCTTTTAGTAAAAGATTAAGATCTTAATAATTCTTCCACCACTGGCTGCATTTATGTGCAACACAGTTGTACTGTGATGAATGTTTGATTTATACTGTAACTCACAGCCATTTTAAGATGAAATAATGATCACAAAGCTATGCAATAATTTTGGGACAAGTTATAAAATAATCATTTACACTTATTTTTTACTAGAACATGTAGCCTATAAAAATAGGTAATCAGAAAATTTGCATTTAATGTAATTCTTCCCTTGATGACACCATCTGTTCGTTATAAACATGCAGCCCTACCACCCTGTAATATGCTTGTCATAATTATATGTAAATATGGTGAATTATCACATTTAGTAGTTATCTCCATAAGACACTGAAACCTCACCTTTTACTTTTTTAAGCCAGATGTCCAACTTGGAGCAGGTTCACCTACAGACCTACAGGCAGGTGGAGGTGTTGAGCTGATGACAACAAACACACTCAGACACAAACCCATGACTGCTGCGTCTTATGGGATCACTGATGTGTGAAAATGTGAGCAGCGTGGTAGTGTTTAGACTGCATGCTGTCACTGTGACTGTCAGTGTGACAGCACTGCTAGTCAGTCCAGTGCTGCTTGTTAACATGTCTGTCTCCCCTCTCCTGTGGTCTCCCCGCAGCCAGATATCACGGTGACGCAACCTGCTCTCAGTTAAAAACGCACTTGCTGCTACTGTGTGCAAAACCAGCTCCAGTCGCACCATCACAAACCAGACCTCAAGCTGCATAATCAACTGCAGCCTGTGTCAATTACCACTGACATTCCCCTTCCATTAGTGACAACAGCAGGAAAAAAAACTTATCAGGCTGTGTTGAAGTTTTATCTGATTTGGAGAAACTCACAGCATGTTCGCTGAGTAAATAAAACCTGATGGTATACAGTACAGTACCAATGAGTGATCAGTCTTATTTTAAAATCAATTAAACATCCATGTCCATAAATGGAAACTCTTCTCCCTTGTGTAAGCTGATAAACTCCACTGAGTCCAAGTGTTGAAACCACTATTTCCCTGCTGGGCACATGCTTCAATGTGTCTAACCCCCCTGAAGGGTTCTTTAATCTGAATCAAAGATACACCGAATGGGAAACAAGGAGATAAAACCAGTTCCTAACAGGGTCTGGCTTTGATAAAGAGCCACAAACTGAGTGAGATTGGAACCAGGTGGGGCTGGATTAGGGAAAGTCGGGGCGGTGAGGTTCCTGTGCGAGCGCTGTGGACACGTGGCCAAAAGCGGTCCTTCTAAGCATTTATTAAATTGAAATTTGATGAGCGCGGTTTCAAGTGGCATTTCTACAGGGAATGACTGAAATGATTTGGGGAATGCTTTACAGAACAAATAAAGAATGATTCTTTCCTCTATATTTAACTAATTGAGTTTAAATGTCTCAAAACAATGTTGTTAAAAACACATTCGTTAGACATGTAAAGAAAAGGAGACTGATTCTATTGGTACACAGACGCCGTGAATTTTAAACAAGGAACAGATTGGCTGAATTGGCTGAGCTGCTCCAACAAGCAGTTCTTTAATTAAACAAAGGTAAATCCAAATATTTTTTAACCTGAGAGTAGTTTTACTTATTACTTCATTGCAGGGTTATTTTCTTATTTTACTTAATGAATGCATGATTCATGCTTTGTTATTAAACTGAACTAGAGGAACATGAGCAAAACCTCTGTGGGTCAGATTTGTGTAATGATTAACCTGTTTAAAATCCCGAGTCCACAACAATTCTGACTAGCTTTTGAAGAGGAAAATAAAAAGAGCACATACAAACAAAATGTCATTTTCATGTAAACAAATACTGAAAATCAAGGAGAGAGAGCAAGAGCATGTGCTGCTTCAACAGCATCCACTCTTACAGGCCCTGACACAACAAACCGTCATCAGAGAACTAGTGGAGACGAAGGCCGACTTTTGCGTCACCTTATGTCGCCTGTGTCTCGACCAACACTTTGCACTTGAACACACTGCAAAGACTACAGCCAACATCCAAGTAGCATGAACATTTTGCACCTGCGTGAGATGGAACAACTCTCCGCACCAGTAGGTGATGGTAGTCTGCATTCATCATTCAAAAAGGGAAATTGGAAGATTGACAGGAAGGATTCAAGACCCAGGTCAGCCACGAGCACATAAACAACACAACCCGATGCCAGAATAAAGGATATTTACTGTGAGCTGGCGAACAGTTACACAAACAATTCTGGAACGTTTCTGCTTACAAGCTAAATGGCAAAAAGAAAAAAGAAAAAAGAAAAAAATCTAACAAGTCTGTTTCAATCGCTCGCTCTCTTGACTTTAGTTGTTGGTTTCTTACCTAGGTACCAATCAGAGTGATGTCACTCACCAACGGGCTGTGACACTGAATCAGGCTGAATCAGCTGATTAGTGCCACTGGTGCGGGCCACACCACAAAAACTACTGCAACAGACACTCGGCCCGACATTGACAGACCTATTTATCATTTCACCCACTAGCTGTGTGTGAGTGTGTGTGTTTTAAATATAAAAACATGTATGACATCCCTACATTCTTGTCACATTATGCCACGTTGTGAATTGAATTAAAAGTAAATATGCTTATTTGACAGAGATCATAAATACAGCAGTGAGCTGCAGGCGGATGATACAGCTACGCCCAACGTCATATTTAACTGACATTGCTTTAAAATGATGTCCTCGTAGCAATGCTGTCTCATTTTGTTAAATGCCTGTTGCCTCGACTTCTCTTTCCTCGTGTCCCCTCCTTGATTCCACTGCTTGCTCTGAGGGAACACGATATGGAAGGAGGCCATCATGCATATGTGAAAAATAAATACTAAGTATATATCTTTTATATATCTTCTATCTAAAACCTCCCTTTTTATTTCCCTCTCCCTTTTACTCCACCCCTCCCTGACTCACCATGTCATTCTTGTTCTCCAAGAAGATTGACAGCTTCTTGAGGAAGGAGACAACCACCAGCAGCAGCTCCTCGTCCTCCCTGTCCAGGATCTTTACCAGCATGTGGACGATGTTTTTGTTCCTCATCTTCAGCTCTGTGCGCGTGTCTTCAGCCAGGTTCAGCAGCAGACACAGAGCAACTACAGGGACAAACACGTCAGAGACAACAGGATCAGGCTGAGAAATTAAAATGACTGTTTCCTGTTCAGTCATTTAGCTGCAACTCACTTTCATGCCTACACTGCTGTTTTTGCTTTTTTTTTTTTAAATGTCATTTTATATTTAATTTAGGTTTCTCTTGTGCTTCTTGGGGTTGCAACAAACAGTTATTTCCATTACCAATCAATCTGTCAATTAGCTTTATGAATAATCAATTAACTGTTATGTCTACAAAACAACAAGAGTCAAAAATGCCCATCAGAGTTTCCTAAAGCCTGAGGTCTTCAGGTGTCTTGGTTTGTCTGACCAATAATCCAACTTCACATTAATTCAGGTTAAAATGACAAAAAATAGAGAGAAGCCGCAAATCCTCACAATGGAGAAGTTTAAAACTACATCAACTTAATCAATCGACAACTTAAAACAATGACAAAAATCTAATGAGTTAAATTTTCAGACCATCGACACCAAGGTTTAAATGTCTGCATACTTACTTAAACCTCTGTATGATAACTATGAAAACTTCCCTCTGATAACTCTGAAAACCTCTGTCTGATAAATCTGGAAAAGATACCACATTCAAAAACTCTGTCTGCCAACGCTGGAAACTTTGTCTGATTACTCTGAAAACTAATGGAACTTTTGTTTGATAACTTTGCTTTATAACTAGGGATGGGAATTGAGAACAGGTTCCTGTTAAGAACCGGTTCCAACTGGTCCAATTCATCGACATCATTAGCCTTTATCCTTAACGATTCCCTTATCGATTCTTTTCATTACGCCGAATCTATGCTCGTCAGTCAGCAGCCCGTTCAACAACAAAGAATACGTAATGGCTGAGAGACAGAAGCGGTCAAAGCCGTAGCTTCACTTCACGCTGTTGTTAGCCTCCCTGGAGCTGCTAGCTCACTGTGGAGCTTCGGCGCATCCCCGCTCCAGGTGGACGGCGGGCGGGGCGCTGTTGTTGTTAGCCTCCCTGGAGCTGCTAGCCCACTGTGGAGCTTCGGCGCATCCCCGCTCCTGTTGTCGGATTTCATGGGAACACCAAGGATGGTAAGATGAAGGCAGTTGAGTTGATTTGCACGCTATTTGTTGTTATAATATGCTGGGCTAGCTGTGTTAGCTGCCTCACCTGAGTTAGCTGCACTAGCTGCGTGGTGTTGACACACTCAGGCTGGGGATGCTTTTTTTCAAATCTTTCTCATCATCTAAACTAGACCATGGCTTTAAGGTTCATAATAAAATGTTCTGAAAGCAGATGTATTGGGTTACAAACAACAGGTGGTATCATTAATTCACAGGAGGAATCGATAAGGGAATTGATAAAGAATCAGATCGATAAGCAGAATCGATAATGGCATTGATATCGATAAAATCCTACCATCCCTATTTATAACCCTAAAAACGTTGTCTGATAACACTGGAAACTCTGTCAGATAACTTTGTCTGAAAACTCTTGAAACTTCGTCCGATAGCTCTGAAACTTTGTCCAATAGCTCGGAAAAATTTGATAACTCTGAAACTTTTCTCTGATAACTCTGGAAACTTTGGGATCTCCACTAACATGTTAAATAAAGTTTGCTGATTGCCCCACTTGCAGGACAGAGGGGCTGGAGAGGTTAAATAAACGGACCTGGAGTCGTAGTGAGTAGACTGGTGTTTGCTCATAGCTCCGTATTCAATAGCAGTCTGAGAGCACGCCAAATTCAATTAACTCTGGAGTAAACTGCCAGCTTAGTCTTACAAACAGACTACACTGACCCTCACAACTCCAATATCTGCAACAGCCAGAACATGATGCAGACACAGCCGAGAGGACACTGAAGGACACATGAGTTTGACATCATTATGAAGTAAAAAGTTTCAACAGTTACCTCTCAGAAGCTGCTCCTGTTTGGTCAGAAGGCTCTGGTACTTTCTGAAAGACTTCTCGTGTTCTTTCTTCAAATTTTGATTCTCAGGGAATTCTTCATGTGCAATCAGTCAAGGAAAAAACATTAAACAGTTTCCTCTTATACTGTACCGTTAAAACTGTCACCTAGCTGAGTATTGTGCTCAGCTTTAGTTACATACAAATAATATACTTTCCATTATCTACCTTATTTAGAAACAACTGTGTTTAAGACTTAAGAATTTTACGTTGAATGACTTTCACAAAAGGATATAGGCCTTCTTCTTCTTCTGTAGTTCGTCTTGCCAGAGGTCATACCTCTTCAGCTCATGTTCAATGATATTCATACACAGGGCCCCAATTTTGAAATGTGTGACCAGGCCATGGAACTGGGAGAAACTAGAGGAGGAAAATTAACAAGGAGAGAGAGTGAGAAAAAGACCTCCATTTATCCAAAAGTGTATTTTCAAAACTAAAAATCCACTTTTTTTTTTTAAGATCGGTGATTCCAGCTGGGAGCTGTCATTAAAATGACCCAATCCGTCACCCCTGAAGTAGTTTACAAAGTAAACTGTCAAAGTCAAAACACATTCAGTCAAACAGTATGTCCTGGTCCGACCTATAATCAGTCCAACTTGAACCGTTTCACAATCCAAACAGCATAACACAGAGATGGACACGAGCCAAGAGTGACGATCAGTTTTCAGACACACACGTCCTCTTGCAGCCTAAATCAGCTCTGACAGACATTTATGTATTATTCTAGTGAGGGCTAATTTTAGTGTTTCCTAACCCCCAGTTGGAGAGTGAAACTTCAGTACTAGGTAGGCTGCCAAAGGTGGATGACTACTGGAAGAAAGGGAGAGAGCAGTGAAAAGAGGAGTGAGCAGAGGCAACTGGCTGTGAGGGTCTGTGCTGTTACAACTAAAATGTGTACTGTACACAAGGAGGCAACAATGCAGCTTGCAAAATGTTTTGAGTGCCCTAATCTGGTAAACTGGGTTTGTGCTTCAAATACAAAAAATACACATGGCCAGATATATATGGACATAATTTTTGTACTGTTGATCTGGGTCATTTTTTCCCAGTGTGGGTTCAGTGAAGAGAAATCTAAATCCTTCACCCTACACTGATATTTTAAACAATTGTGTTCTTTCGTGTTTGTCCCTTTAATGTTTCAACATGACAGTTTCCCCGTGTACATTTCTAGCTCCATGCAGAGGAATTTTTTTAACCAGTTTGGTGTGAAAGACCATTCAGCACCTTTGGGATCAGTTTCAATCAGATCAAGTTTTTCACTGCTGGAAACATTGTCTTTTCATAAAACTAGGCTGTCTCTGCAGTAGAAACATGCAAATACTTGTGAAGTCATACACGAACAGAGAAAACAGAGAAAAAAGACTGGCATTTGCTCAAGAGGTAGAAAACATACACAGACAAAATGCACTGCACTGCACCTGCTGGTAAACACTCATGGTTAAGTGGTGCGTTATGCAAACTCGTCTTTTTGACAAAATGGCAACCGGCTGGTAACAAACAATCTCATATTACACTCAAACAGTTAGCTAAAACATGTTTCTGAAAACATTGGGGGCAAGAAATAGGCAACACAGTAACAGAATCTGGGTTTATATTTGGTCAGTGCTGCTTATTTTTGCTGTTTGATCTCAGTTTTTTCAGCCTCAGTTTTCACTGTGCAGGAAACAGTATGGCGCCCACTTCCTGTTCACAATCTCGCTATAACAGCTAAAAAGGGCACTAAAATATGTTTCTAAAAATATTTGAGATGAAAAAGAGAAAGCTCTTATTGAGATTGAGTTTAAGTCTTAGTTTAAGAGAGAGAAGGAGAAAGAGAAAGCAAGAGAGGGGCATGTCTGTCTCTTGACCTGCTTCTATACTCTTTTTGTCTGTGGTGGCAGCATGGGCTGTGGGCAATACAAAAATGTGGAAGCACAGCCTTGTATTTCGACCAACAGCCCGGGATAAGCAGTGAAACTGCTGGATGCTGCTGAATGATGCATTTTGTGTCATCTGCGTCATCCTGTGAAGTTTCTCTGGGAGAGGAGCAGGGAGATCTGGGTACTGGTTAGATGGAAGGAAGTTTACCACAGTTCATTTGCACATACTACCCCCACTGTTATGATACAAAGCTGGGTGAAAATCAGTGAAGTATCCCTTTAATGTCCATGGTTTTAGAGTGACATGTTCAACTATCTAACATCAGTGTTGGGCAAGTTACTCTCGAAAAGTGATACATTACATATTACTAGGTGTGGATCAGTGTGGATTATTGAAAAATGAATACAATAAACAGTTTGTTTTGGGCAGTAACATTGTAAATGTAATATTACCCAAAATCCTGTTGGTAGCATGTTATATTACTTTGTTGCAGCTAAGAGATAATATATTACTGTACCCCCAACACTGTCTAATACAGATGTTGTGTTGGCTCTCCACATAGTGTCTTGCTACTGCTAGGTGTGTCCACACTGATTGTTGACATAGAGCTCACCTAATATATTTCTTTCACTTTAAATGGGCGTCCATAAGTTGACTTAAATAAAATATTTCTCCAACTATGAATACCTTTTTTAAATATGTCTGTTTAGTCAACAAACTAAAGCCATGTAGTCCAAAAGCAGAATGTTGATGAGCACAGGGGTCTGTTTATACTTCACTAGATGTCTGAATACACAGACGTGTTCACATGTAAGCATTATATATTTCTGGCTGCATGTGGACTGTCACATGGCCCTGCGGCCATGCAGAAGTAGAGACTAAAAATACAGTTCAAAACTCCCCAAAAGACACTCTAAATTGTAAATCAAGATCCACATTGCATTCGGTACCAGCCAAACAATATTACTTAATATACTCAAAGCTATGAAAAAACAAGCAAGAAAGACCTCATTTAACACCACATGTAAATGACACGTTGGAATGAAGAGTCAAAGTTAGATGGAGATAAATGTGTCCCTGATAGTTCACCTGGAGAAGCAGAAGAAGATATAGACGATGGTAGTTGCCAGGTCCACACTCTGCTTCCAGTCCTCCCTCAAAACTCTGGCCAGGGCTCCAAGGGCCGTCTCTGACAACAGACACACAAACTCATATCAGTTAAAACACACGTACAAAGGCAGACATAGAAAATATCAGACAAAAAGAAGGTAGCACAGGAATGAAGGGCTACAGATGAGACAGACAAACTAAACACAAAGCGTCTGTGTGTGGAATTCAATCAGAGTCAGACTGAGCACAGCGCAGTGCAGCTGGAGGTTAATTTAAAGAAGCGTGGGGGAATGCGATGAGGTCGGAGGCTCCTGAGGATTTTGAGCTATGGGTGCTTCTCAACGCAAAGACGTGCGTCCCAGGGTTCGTCTCCTCTTTCCATGCTGACCCCAGGCCTCTGGGTTCACACGAACACTCTGCTCTTATCAACATCGGACTGGTTGATGCGACGCGGCAGACAGAGTGAGCCGACGACGCACTATGACGGATACAAATGAAGCGGTGCCATCTCACCACGGCTGCAGAGGATGATGGCTCCGTGCTGTTGTGGAAGAAACAGCCTGGTTGTCACGGAAGGGAGCAGAACCAAAGCTGAGCTTTGTTTTCTTTAAAAGGGGAGCAGAGACAACGAGCTGATAAAAGCCAACCGATTCTACGCTCAAGCAATATTCTTTTTTTTTTTTTTTTTTTTAAAAACTCCCCTTTTGGCCAAATGCAGTTTTAGTTTGACAATTTGGAATATGGCTGATGTTTGCACTTAGGCAATTGGATCCACTTTGACAGAAAAAAAGATTATTTTGAGAAAAAGAATACATGCTGAATAATTGAGCATGAAAGCTCATCCTTGACCCTTTCAGAGCTGTCAACCACATCTCATGTCTTCCTCTGCACATGGAGTTTGCTCACTTGTCACAGAGATAGCTTTCATACCAACAGTCATTGGGTGGTCAAAAAAAGATCAAGGAGGCTATTCACATGCCACCATCTACCCCCTTCCTGCTGTATACAACCACCTGAGCAAACTCCATCTGCAGAGGAAGACTGTGAGAAGCTGTTTAAGGCTCCAAAAAAGGCTTTTGAGATCAAATTCTGAAAAACCATTATGTAAGACCTAATTCTGGCAGGGTAGATTTGTAGCAAAAATATCTACATGATCTCCAACAATGTTTCATCAAGCAGCTACAATATGTGAAGAGACAGATATGGCATATGCCATATCTGTCTCTTCACATATTGTGAATTTAAAAAAAAAAAGTTTATACGTGTGTGTATGTATGTATGTATGTATATGTATATATATATATACATATACATACATACACACACACGTATAAACTTTTTTTTTTTTATTTTATAAAAAAGGGTAGCCAACAAAAGAAGCCCTAGTCAAAGTACAGTCAGGAAGACTACACTTTTGCATGCTTAGGCATGCATGCTCACTCATAATGTCTTTGGCTGAATCGATATGTCCACGCTCTGGACTCACGGACTGAGCCCTCGAGGACTTCAGTCATTTGTACTGTTTTACTCGTTGCCATGAAAACTACTGCTGTTATCCTATTTATATATATGTCATATAAGTTGATTAACAGTGCCTACTCATCCGTCTGGTTTTTTCCCGGCCAACTTTTTTGGGCTATTACACAGCTTGCTAGGCTGCAATAACTGCAATGCATTTTCATTCCCTCTACAGCCTATACTTCTACATATTTCTGTATCATGATGTGGTTGAATATTAGTCAGTCCGCGAGTCTGCAAGTGCGGTGAAGTGCGGGCATTTGGATTCAGCCTTTCTGTCATTGTTGGGGACTGTCAATTGAGACATCAGCTGTTCTGTCAGTCGGTCACAGTTATCCAACAGCACAGTGACACACCTTCTCTGTAAGTCTATCATCTTACTGATTCTTGTTTTAAATATGGTTCTCTTTCTGCTCGTTATTCTTTCATGCTGTAGTTGTGCGCATCCTCCACCCATCACTGCAGAGTCTTCACAGATTCATCAGCTTCATTAGCCCTAAGTCTCAGAGTCATCAGCCACTGCAACCAGTGTCTGGACTCCACTCCCCACTCCCTGGGGGCTTTATCTTGCTGCTCAGATGCCGCTCCATTGCAAATCTCTCTCAGGAGTCCAAGCGCCAAATACAGTCTGACAATTCATATACATCACATCATCTGTTAATCTGTACACCTCCAATCTGTATTAAACAATCACTTTTACTTCATTCACCTGGTCCCTCCTGATTGAAATATTAGGACATCATCTTGTATTGAAGGAATACTTCACCCACAAAATGGTCCTTTGTTAATCAATTAGTCATACTGTGTTACCTTGAATTTGTAAAGAAAATTATTTTTTCTCACATGCCTCCATGGATAACGGCGAACATATTGATTTGTTGACTGGAGACATTTAATAACAGCAAAACTATATCATAACATCTGTTTACAAACTTTCACACAACTCATGCAGTATAATCCAAGTCTCATTTATCCACTTGTATGCTCATTGCTTTCCAAATACATGGATTTTCACTTAAAAAAATCACTATATTTCGCTATTACAGTTCACCAAAAAAATTAAGAGTCTGGTTTTGAAGAGAGCGTTGGTAAGTTTTGCTTTCGGTTGAATTTTAAATAAGGTTTTAGCAAAAATGCTTGTGTTTGGGAAGGACTGAGCATAGGACTGGTAAATGAGACTTAGATTATACTGCCCAAGTTGTGTGACAATTTGTAAGGGTATATTGATATAGTTATGCTGTTGTTAAAGGTGGTCCCCAATCAATCAATAAAATAAGTTTGCTGCTTCACGAATTCAAGGTAACATGACATGACTAACCGATTTACAAATGGTAAGTGTGTGAGTGAAGTATTCCTTTCAAAAAATCAAAATCATAATATATGTAGTGAAGACTTTAAAGGAATCTCGTAAAAGGTATAAAGTGTATTTTTTGGCAAAATGGAAGTTATCACTATATTGACATGTATGATTCCAGGGAGTAATCTCCAGTGAGAGACATGCTGTCTTCACTTAGAGACTATTTTTACACTGATAGGGAGCTTAGTAACATGGTGCAACAACAATCACCTGAAGTTCAACATCAGCAGAACCATAGAGCTTGTGGTGGACTACCAGAGAGTCTTCCTGCTGGCAGCACAGAAGAGCTATACAATCAACATAGTTTCAAAATGGGCACCCAAGATTAGTGTCACCAATTCAGTATCTGGGTAAATGTCTCCCCTTCTGTTCTTCAGATTTTACATTGAGTAACAGCCAGAAAAATGTTTTTGCAGAACATTATGATGTCACAGTGAAGCTGACCTTTGACCTATCATATATTAAATGTCCTCACTTCATTTATCTAAATTAGATATTTGTATCTAATGTTGTCATGTTTGCTGTATGAAATCTTAAATTATGGCCAAAAACGTGTTATAATCCATGAGTCCAACTGGACACTTATGCCAAATCTGTAGAAATTCCCTCAAAATGTTTCCAAGATATCGCGCTTACAAGAATGGGACAGATGGACAGACGGACGGACAGACAACCATTATTTTAAGATGGGCATAACTGAAAAGCTTAATCTCTTTGAACCTTTGAACCTAACAATGATTTAGAAAAAAGGCATATATATCTATATCATTATTAGTGTGGAAAATTAACATTTTGGTGCTGGCTGTGAGCATGTTGTCAGTGTTTCTGCATTTCAACATGAACAGATAAGGAATAGAGAATTGAAAAAAGGGAATTATTTTTTCTTCTAATTAAACTGAAAGTAAATCTGTATTTAATAGAGGAAGGTACCGTTCTGTACGAGCTCCTCCAGGTTGTCCGGGTTACGAGCCAGTTGGAAGATGAGTGTGGCTCCTCTGATCTTCTCCTGAATGTCCTCATACAGCAGCTCCACATACTCATCGATGCTGCTGATGCTCGCCTCCTCGTCCAGCTGAAGGGAAATAAAACAGGAAATAAAGCACAGTGAGGACTGGAAAATGTCCTCAGCATTGCACAGACATTGTACTGTAAAAACACACATGTAGTTCCTACCTCCACTCCTGCATAGGGTGTGAAGTCTCGAGGTGAGATGCGTTTCTTCTCTTGGTTGTCTGTGAAAAGTAATAGTCACCATCACAAAGAGAAATTACTTCTACTTTTACCTTGAGGAATACTTAATGACCACATCAGTGTTTTTTCTAAAGTAGTTGATAAATAAACTCTTAAATACCATTTGACTGTTTGCGATTTTGCAAATAGAAGAGCAGCTGCTCCACCTTGCTGAGTTTGGATGGGTGAATCAGCCGACATTCCTCCACGACTTTCCGGGCCAAAGAGGACGTATCTGTGTGGGCGTTCAGGCTTTTCAGGCGAATACTGAAGGACAAGCATACAAACACATGAAATTACAGCTCTGAAGAGAAACACTGAGCACCTCCTTTTCAGAGGTATAAAATGAAATCATGATAAAGAAATATCACAGAAATTATACTGTAAGAAACTCTGTGTATAACTCTCACATTTTTTGACACTCTTTGCGTTCCCCAACCATTGGGTTCCCCTGCTCTCCCAGGACAGTTGCCTCCACCTCATACTGAACTACAAGGGCTCTCTCAGTGGGGTGGACATCAAGTGTGCAGCCCTTTACCCTCCTGTGGGTCATAGATAAAGGAAGCAAAACACCAAAGATTAATATACTTAATGTTCATTCTGGTTTTATTCAATTAAAAAAAGTGTGATTTATGGTGAATAGGGACTGGTGTGACAGTGGGAATGTGAGGTGCTCTCAGTCCAGCTGTAGACCACTCTATAACATTACACTGTGCAGAGGCCACTGCAGTGTGGCGATGCTGTGTTTAGGAAGAGCGACCCTGCAGATCAGCTTGTTGGGGCCAAGATGTGTGGACAGTTTACTACAAGAACCATCCAGAATCATGGAAAATTATAAGGCATCAGCCCACAATGTAAGAAGACACAAAAAAGGACTAAACCACAGTGCAGACGTTAAAAGAGGTGATGGAATCCCATTTCACTGGAGCTGTACCATGTCTTATTTCAATGTGACAAATAAATGATGACTGATTGATATTCATCTCATTGTACTTTTTACTCTTACACATTTATTTGACATTACTTTGCAGTTTTCAGATTAATACAAAATATAAATCAACTGAGAATTTATCATGATATATTTTTATAGATAATAGATAAAGCTCCCCAACACAGTTTATTATGTGACTAAAGTAGCAGTGTAAAGTAAATTAGCTCCACCTGCATCACCTCCAACAATAACTTGTTTCCGTGATGAACACATGAAAACAATACTTGTACTTCAGTGATGTTATAATATCATTGTGAAATGGACAATTCTGCATTATGAGGTTTTTTATCTAACTTCTGGTACCTTAAGTTGCGTTATGTTTTTACGTTAACAGACTAACGTTACTTTTTGTACTTTTATCTAAGTAAGACTTTGAATGCAGGACTTTTTCTAGTAACAGCAGTTTTCCTACGTGGTACTAATACTTAATATTTATTCCACTACTGGTCATTAGCTAAATTCTTCAATCGATGGTGGTTGTTGTCTCTTTTATTGATGAATCACGTTTTATCGATTTTCATCAACGCACACACCCTGGACCGACACACAGGTTAGCTTACATAAGGCTAACAGCACTTACTATTAGCGACCTTAAGCAGGTCGTATCAACACAAATAGACATTATCATGAATATTAATAACAGACTCTTCCGTTAGCTTTGTAGTCACTTATTTAAATGGCCCGTTATGCTATCAATGAACAGCTGGGCATCCCACTGGAGTCTGCTGTTAGCTCAGCTAACGGTACAAACGTGAACAAGCTAACGTTAGCAGTCGTTACCTTTTCAGATACCGCGCATCTCCTGTTTGCAAATTGTCCATTTTGGATAAGAAAGAAAGCCCACTTCAAAACTGTCCTTCTTCCAGAACAGGACCAGCTGATGCTGATAAAGACAGGACGGATGTTATTTCTCTCTGCAGCCTGTTGCTAGGGCGGCGACACAACTCCCAGCATGCAATGTGGCTAAAGCTAGTTAGCACTGCTGCCACCTGTAGTCACGGAGGACGAGACTGCTGAGACCTGCTGCCTGGGACAGGTTCATGATCTGTGTTCAGTACATTTACAGAGGTACGTCAGTACAGAATTGAGCTTCTTTTACTTTACTCGAGTCCTTTTTACATGTCACTTTCACTTGTATATCAACTAACTTGTATTTCAGAGGGGAAATTGTAGGCCTACTTTTAACTTGACTACATTTAACCTGACAGCTGGTTATTTTACAAATTAGGCCCAAGATTTTTTCATACGAAACATACAGGGAGCTTCTGAAATATAATGTTTTAAATGATTAGTCGATTAATTAGTTAGCCAGTTGACCGAAAGTTAATTGTTTAGTTATTTTAATGCAGAATATGTCCAGCTTTAGACTGGTAAAAAAAAAAAAAAAAGATTTCCTGCACACTATGCAGAGTTTCACTTTATTAAGAGCTTTCGGTCTATTGGACCTTCATCAAAGCATACATGAGAAACAATGGACAGGCTGGTAAAAGTAACCAATTTCACACCTGTGCACAGCCCTGGTGGCAGATGTTCCACCTCCTGGGAGTTGTAGTTTGAAGTTTGTAGTTTGTAGTAGGCTACTGAATGGCAAACTGTGAGGCATACAAATGGAAGTCGAACTTGTCATACAGTACAAGTATACAAATCAAGGGTGGAACACAGTGAATACAGAAAAACATATAAAATCATAGAATACCTTTATTACAGTATCAAATTACAATTTCATCACATAGTAATTGGGGCTTTGGAAGGAATCAGGCTACAGCCATCCTTTATCAGGAATCCCCAAATCTATAAAATACACATCTCAAAACACAAGTAGAACACATCATGGTTTTAGCTTTACAGATGTTAAGATTTGCTACCTTTCCTTTTCATAATGTAAGTAATTTTAATGTAGCCTATTAGTAATAATGTTGAGGTTTGGACAAAACAAACACTGTGAAGGTGTCACTTTGGGCTCAGGGTCATTGTGATGGCATTTCTCACTGTTTTTACTATTTTTTTTTTTACAAATATCAATTGATTAATGTAGGAAATCATCAGCAGATGTATCCAAAATGGAAATAATCATTAGTTATAGTTCCAAATGAGTTCCACCTTAACCAACTACAACAGTAAAATCCTGCTTTTACATTAATGCGCGAGTAATAGTAGCATAATCATATAATAGTAGGCTACAACAGCCACAGGGGGCAATTTTGCTAGATTTAATACTTTAAGTACATTTTCTTGATCATATTTACAGACTTTTACAAAGTAATTTTCAATACAGAACTTTTACCTGTAGCAGAGTATTTTTACACTGTTGTATTCCAAGGTTGAAAATAAGCCAAATACTGGTAAAATATGCAAGTGGCTGCTAGATTTGTCTCACTCACGAGCCAAAGAAACAATGGTAATCTATTGAGTTGCTGGTAGATTTTGGAATGGTGAACCAAAAAATCAATTGCCAACCCTGTTGTACAGTACTTTTACTGAGGTAAAGGATCTGAATACTTCCTCCACTACTGGCTGCTATAAACTGAACAGCAGCCGCAGGGTTGTAACTTCAGAGTTTATGATTCCTTTCCTGAGTTTAACTCCACTCAACAGCCTTTGAAAAAAATGTTGACTGGTCAACAAAAAATGTTGTTATATTTCTTTTTTGTAAATGTTTCCTCTCTTGAGGATGGTGTTTCAAATCCCTACATACACGAGTACAGACAGCCCACAGTACAGCTGACGCCATCATTAGTAACTCTTGTTAGTTCTGCAGGTATCTGATTAACCAAAGTAATGAAAACATTACATGCTGACGTGACAATGGTGCTAGGTGAAAAGTCAGGGGATCATAAAGTTAGTCCAATTCATCCTAAGGGAAACATGAATGTGTGCAAAAAATCTTATGACAATCCATCCAATAGTTGTTTATTTACTGTGATAGAGGAAAAATCATGGTATAAAGCCATTAGGACACATAATCTGGGAACCATGAACAACTTTATGAAACTTTGAGCCAACCCATCTGGTTGATGTGAACGTATTTCGCTGAGTAAGTAAAACCCTTGCAGTAGGTAGTAGTACCTGTTAGTGTGGACCAAATTTCTGAAGCAATACCTCCACATTTATTTTAAGCCAGTCCCCAGAAGTCAGTATTGGCATTATACCATTATACATACAAACCATGAATACATTACACTTGCATGTTTCATACATATCAACCTCTCTAAAGCGACACAGTATAGGAGCTGATTTTGTCATTGGCAGGTGGAGGGGGTGGTGGATGGCATTTCACCTAGGCAAGACACCTGCCATGCTGCAGAGCACTGCTCCAGACCAACAAGCAACAAAACTGATTGTGATTTAGTGAGTCATTTCTTTGTTTGCAGCAACTCTTTAGGCACCAAATGTGGATGTGTTGATTTTCAGTTGTGATAGTTGCTTGACAAGCAGTTGTTTTTTATTAAGACATTGATAGTTTTCCAGTGGGGATTGTGCCCCTAAAACCAGGTATTTTAAGCCAAAACACAGCATTGCTGAAATGTTAAGTTTCAACGTTAAGTTTCAACATATCTGTTATTTAATGTTGTGCAAATGTAATGCATCCATGGTTTGCAGAAATGTACACATTTCTGGTGATTGGGTTGTTATTTTGCCAATGGTGGGCAATGAATACAAGCAGCTGGGCAACAGACAAAGATGTCAATCTGCAATGTTAACGAGAATGAAATATTCAAAACTAGGTGTTTCAATTATCAAACATACACTCACTTTTTAAAATCCTCAATGTGCAACTAATATTCCTGTCAAAATATAGACATTCTCCCTCAGTGTCATTAAAAGAATAATGCAGGACTGTATCTGCAGTTATGATAGATGGTCTGGATGCCGGATGTAAGTAATAGTAGTAAGAGACCACCAGGTTGAGTTGGGGTTAGATAACTCTAAGTTACATAAGGTTAAAAAGGTTCTGTGAACTTGGGGATTTTTCACCGCTTGTTAGGGAACCTGATACTGGTTTTAGCTCCCTTTTGACTATTTATACTTTCTGCATGAACCTTCAGTCCAACAAGTGGATTCTCTTCAAAGTTCAAATGTCTTTGACTTTTGCTCATCAATTAAAGCTCTTCATCAATGACAGTAAGTCTCATCTAAAATACGCTATTGTTATTTTTATTCATTTCCGCTTTAGGTTTTACTTATTGATACATTAACAAAGAAAAGAGTGTTTGTTTAATTATCAAGCACTTTTTAAAGTCCAGCCCGTTATTGAGTCCTTAAAGTTTTGTTTCCTTAAAAAACAATTTACTAGAGATGAGTATTAGTATCTTGAATGAAGACAGAATAAAGCAGATCATTACACCACATTAAACAGAAATAACCCCTAAATTATCGAAAATTCATAAAACTATTTTTTTGTGTTTGTTTTGCACTTGCTTGCAGATGTGTTTGTCTTGTTTTAATGAAACTTTTGAGACTTAATAACAAGACAACTTTCTTTCAGGGAAGGATTTTTTTATGTGAATTTTAAAATTCTATAAACCTGATCAATTTCCCATGTGAACTTCACACCAGCCGTGTGTCTTCATTAAAGTTATAAGCAAGAAATAAACAAATGGCCAGTTGGTGTAATCAATACTGTAACTTGGTAGATGTGCTCTCCATGTATCTGCTGCTCTCAGCACCAGTAACAGCTGATGTCACTGCACTAAATCTAGCCTGTGGCTCGTGATGGGCATATTGAAATATTATTTGTGGTAGGGGTCAAAAATATAGGCTATGGTATTCCCTGGTGACTGAATGAATGATTGCTGGTGCTACAAGGACACCTGTTTGTTTGTGTTTGACGGTTAAAGACTTGCATGCAGTTTCAGACAGCCTTTCCTACTCTACTAAACAGACGCCTGCAGCTATCTTGATTTAAATACACCATTTGCAAAGTTGTCCTAACTAACAGCCACTTAAACCACTTCAAATACTGCACCTCATCCTGAGATCAAATTCCAAGGTGTCAACCTAAAAAGGTCAGTAAGAGTGACACATTTAGCTGTTGAGGCTCAGGAGTGTAGAGATGACATAACTGAGGCAGTCAGGTGAAAGTTTAACCCCCACAGGCTGACACCAATCAGAATCAGCAACAATTAAGAGTGAACGTTTACTGTCACTGAGATGCATTACCAAAATTAAAAGTACCACAAAGTGGCATCGTTTTTCTTCCCATGTATCATCATTGCATTTGAAGTGGAGCATGATATACTATATGATGACTGAATTTGACACAATAAAATTCAACCTTGACTTTAACACCAAATAACTTGAGACTTCACATGGACTTGTGACTTGTGACTTCTGACAGCAGCCAATCACATTATACAAACAAGCAAAGGGAAAAGGTGGGTTTGTCACTTCAGACCAGCAGACAGACAACATGTAATTCATCAGAACAGTAAGATGTAAAGACTCTGCAGCAACACGTAAAACATTAAGTTCAGAAATTACACATACCTATATTTTGTCAGAGGAGGCACAACTGATAATTTAAATACAAATTTTTAACTCTAAATTTGTACATCATTTCTTCCCACGCCAACTATTACCCTGTTTAAAAATGCAGCTGGACTTGGACTTGACTTTTGACTTTCAAAACGAAAGAAAGAATACAATACAATACAACATTTGCATATAGAAATTACTTGTTTATGGTCTTTTATTACAGACTTCTTCAATAATTACAGAATTGTAATTCTCACCCATATCTCTTTATTTCATACAAAAACATTCTGACCCAAGGCTGACTCCTGACTGCAGGAATGAATCAATCATCCCCCATGCTCTATGACAATGCACCAGCTGTCTAACCTTTCAGGAAGTTCGGACCAGATTTCACTGCATGTGTACCCCAGTGCTATGACATGATATGATGCCGTGACTTCTCCTCTTTTTACCCTCCTTGATTTTGGTATGCCGGCCAACACGGACACAAAGGATACATGCATACAAGCAAATCGATACAGAGACCTGTCCCTCTCTTTCGCTCTCTCACACTCAAACCAAACTTTGATAAAATGGTAATACTAGGCAGTGCTGATCAAATAAAAAGATCCTGTTACTGTACTGTCTATTTCTTACCTAAAGTGTCTTAAGAAACATATCTTAGTGCACTATGAAGACAGCACCATATTATTTCCTGGATTGTAAAAAAAGGTTAAAAGGATTGAGATCAGATGGTACAACTCAGCAGTGCTGATTTCATATAAGCCAAGATTATGCTACTGTGTTGCTAATTTCTTACCATGAATGTTTTCAGAAATATATTTTGGCTTACTTTTTAACTGCAATTTGAGATTAATTATTGTGTGTGACCCAAATGACCAAAAGATTATCCTGCAGACTTAGTGTTCATTTACCAAGAGAATAAGAAGATGACTTGGAGCTTTAATTGTACTCTTTGTTCTCTGGTGTCTGAGAAGCTGTGTCAGTACAGAACAGGAGCCATGTATACAAACATGAGAAGATGCGACTAATTTTAGGACCACATTATATGACAGTAAGGCCTTGAGGTCGGACATATGGACTCTCATGTGCTGCTGGAATTTGCAGCCTGAAATTCAGTCGCCTCTGTTCGTCCTGAGACAGCAGACCCCAGCCTCCCTCTCTCACTCCTCCAGAGTCAGTGTCCCTAGCAGGTGATCTGTAGATCTGGCTGGGTGTTCTAAGACCCGCCCCGTGAAAAAGATCTCTGACGATCACTCGAACGCTGGCAGAGATGTGTTGACCACTCAGCTAAACAGATATAGCAGCAGCTGGAGTAACAGTGTCCCAAAGAGGCACCGTAACACACAGAGTGTTACTCTCCTCCACCATCGTTCAGTCAAACTCCTGGATAACAGCACTGTTTTGTGAGGTGCTACAAGGCCACATACAGCAATAATGGAGATTGAGGAAGAGATTTCACGTGAAGATGATGATGATGGCAGCTCATCATCACCAAACGTAGAGTACAAGGCTGCTCACCAGGCGTTTAGGGATCGCTGGAAAGAGACGGATGACACCATGTGTCGCCACAGCATGTCCTTCCACCTGCACCACTCGCTGCGGAGTGAGTTCTTCGCCAGCTACCTGTACCTAATGGAGAAGATTCCTGTGGGTAAGAAGAAGGGCCACACAAAGGCCCAACCTCACACCAGCTTCACAGTCAAGAGATCACGATTTACAACCTATACTTGACCCTTGACCATTAAGGACTGGGCAAAGTTGGGAAGCATGCCGGGGGGTTTGCATGTTTTGGTTCAGTACAAATCTATGATTTCTTTCCAAAGGCTTTTCATCAGTTTCTATTTATGAAAATTAACTCATAGAGGCTTTAAACTTGCAGCTCAGCAAACATCATGTTCTTTATAAGTTAAGTTAGAGTCACACATATTCATCACGAGGTTATGCACTTGAAAGTGCACATGCTACAAAATGTCTCAATGATTGAGAAAAATTATTTTGAAGCTGATTTACATATCACAGTAAAATGAATATAAAACAATGGCTACCTGGAAGTTTGGAAAATACTTTTGAAAAATCTAAAACAAGAAAGAAACACGGTGGACATGGTAGTCAGCAGTAATGTAATGTGTTATGTGTACAGATTTAAAACTAAATGGGATAAAACAAACACAAATACAGGGAATGATTAGAAGCATTGAGGTTCACTGGAATAGCCAACCAATACTCTGATCTGACCTGCTAGAAATCAAATATCATCTTACATTATAATACATTTAAAAAGTATTTTTATATACTACATCTTGCAGACACACACATAGAAAGCTGTGAAAAGGTTTTATGGTGCATGCAGAAATACAACATATCTTTAAAATGTAAATATACATGATTGTAATTGGGATTAGTTCCAAGGGGAAACAGCTAGCCTGACTATATTTGTTGTCTACCAACATCACTTAAGCTCATTAAAACAGACAAACAAATAAGCAAATGTAAAAATCACAGTTTTTAATTGTAGGTAATATTAAAATGCTAAAACTGTTAATTGATTGTTAATATTCTGCCCAGCACTTCTGTGCAGCTATCCAACTATCTGATATGGTCAGTGAGCACAGATAATGGTTTCTGTGCAGGCTAGGTGTTACCAAAGCTGGCAGTCTTACTGTGATGACAGGAAGACTGTAGGAAAGTGTACACAGTCACTGCAGCAACTGTAGTTTTTCAAGAAACAGTTCTAGTATATAACTCCCACAGAAACCACAAATTGTTGTTTTCACATTTCTGTTTCTGCACAAGTTATATAAACAAGATACAACATGTTCATTATTTAGAGGTGCTGATAGGCAGAGTCAGGTTGGCTGTTTCTCTCTGCTTCAGCTCAGTCCTATGCCTGACTGTCATGGAGAACAATAGTTTCACACATACAGGACCTGTAGGAATCAGAGAAAGCATCTAAACTGGAACTCCTGGAAGTCCAAATGCTGTTGCATTTACCTTGGATTACTGGACGTCACTGAGTGATCAAAATGATCTCGGGGTAACCACCATATTGACACTGATTGTACATTGCACTCCTTTGCTTGAATGGTTCAACATACAGAGGAATGAGAGTATGCAGAAATGTGCCCAGCACTTCTCCACAGTTGCAGAGCAATGGGACATTGCAAGAAAGGTGACAACAGTTGGCACACACAGTGCCAGTGTGATCCTTTCTAAAAAGAAAACAAACACTGTATTTCACAGAATAAGCACTTTGAAGTTGTCTCCTACCTCTAAGTTATGGTTTCAACACCACACTGTTGTAGCAGTGCAGCACTGATTTGAAAGGAATAAATCTGTAAGTCAAGATCATAAAGTAAATTTCTTTGCATTCATTGATTCCTAATCAAGACACTTGTAAGAACTGCTTTACCTTGTTATGAACTTCAAAAATAATGGAATTTCAAACATATAATTGAAAATGTGATTAACTGCAGTTAGAAAAATAAATAGTTTGACAGCCCTAATTGTAACATTGGCTGGTCAACGACTGAGTCTTCATACACTACCAATGAAAATTCTTCTGCCGCAAAGGTTTGATTAGGCACTACTCTATTTGTTTGAATGGTCTTTGATGCTTTCAGGTTGTAGAAAGTCCTCTTTACAAATACATGGGACTTTGTATAAACGGTTTGTTTTGTATATGGAGAACAAAACACAATGGTTCAATCAGACTGACAACTGAAAGGGCACAAAGAGACAAAGATCCCTCTGAGCAATAAGAAAAAGAACAGAAGAAATCAGCATCATCGGTCAAGAAACTGGAATAAAAATGTGTGCAGATTTCAACAGGAACAGGGTCCTGTTTGAGTGTCAAGTGCACAGTAATACCTATAACACCCTGGAAATGTTGCTTAAGCAAAGCTATTCCTCAGACTTCGCAGTAGAAATAGAAGGTTAGTGTAGGAGTAAGCCCTTATGGAACTGGATCAGGAAATATCATCTGATCCTACTATGGACAGACAAATTACAATTTAATCCTATTCAATCTAACCACTATGCAGACTGCATATGGCACAATGAAAAACTCACTAACTCAATATTTAGAGCCCAGTTGCAGAATTGTAGTTCAATAATGATCGAGGGTCACCTGTATTTTTCTGGAGTAGAAAACACATTCAGCATCAGAGTTGGATGGACACTGTGTGCACATCGACTACATGGAAGTTTCAGTCATTTAATTCTTCTTTTGGGGCCCAAACTATCCCAATCCTCTGCAGGGTGTGCACACCCCAGGCTAATGACCTATTGGCCATTCTGGCTCAAAGACACCTTAATTTCTTACCAATAACTTGATACAAAGACCATTAATGGCATGGCATGCCAAGCATGAAAGCTCTAACTCATGTCAGTCAGTGAGATACATGACAGTCAGGGGGCTGTGGTTGGATAATTTACAAACAGCCGTGCAAGCTTTAGATGACAGAGTGAAATGTATATTTTGTCCTTTTTTATGTCTTAATACAGAAAATGTCAAGCCAAAGGAGTTAACCTAAAATAAACGTACTTAACCCTATATTTAACTCATTGGAAATAAACATTAATCTTAATAAAAAATTAAATTAAATTAAAATCTTAATTAATCTTTAATCCTCAACTTCTAATGAGCTGGTCCACTTTGAAGGTGTGAGAAAGAAGAACATGGTGGCACTGGATTGACACTTTCTTGGCAGATATGTATGTCGTCACACTGTCTTCCCCCCTGTCTTGGTCTTGCTTGATGCTTCTATAATTACCCTTTATCTGTAAGCCTTCCTGAGGGGTCACATAACATGTAACTGCCAGCTTTAGATGTTCCAATCATATCTGATGCCAGGGCAAGATCCTTAAACATTTGATAATCAGGTGGTGCACTTGCCAGGAAAGTCACACAGCTTGAACTGTCTGTTTCTACACCTTGTTTTTAGTGTGACTTCCAGGTGCTGAACGATTCAGTCCCTTTTATGGCTCCCTGCCTTGTCCCGATGTTTCTAGCATAGAGGAGGGAGTCCAATTGTAAATAAATCCCCCCTCTCAATGTTTCACTGTGGTGTTATGAATTCTGCCACTGGACATCCTTGACAAGTGGACAGACTTCCCCCTATGACCCTCACCTCCCACCTCTACCTCATCTACGCCAAGAACGTGTCATCTAAGCCTTTGGAAATGTTGTGTTCATTCTGTAGGATTTATTTCAGCTCAGAAGAACTGAGCCAGTGAAAGGTTGGGATAGTTTAAGAAACCAGCTGTTAAGGTTCTTAATGTCACAGTATGACACTGGCATCATATTAGGAAGCAAGAGTGTTGTACTACAACACATAACTGAAAACTTTCAAAACAATATCTATTATGACTTGGAACTGTTGTGGTCCTGGCAATAGAGGAGTCCTTTGAGGTTCATAGTTCTACAGAAATATTAACTTGCTGCAAATTGGTAACCTAAAAAGCATGAGAAACACTGGAGATTATTCAACCTACTTGTTATTTTATAGCATGTAACAGCTGAGCAGGGTGTAAGAGTAGCGCAGCATGTTCTTATTTATAGTCTTCTGGTAATCAAATTATCATTCTACACTTCCTTTGAGATAGTGAACTGTGTTCCGCTCCATACAGAGCAGTCTAGTGTCATGTTGTATCTGTTGTTAGACTAGGTGTGTAAAATTACAATTACTAACATTGAATTTGGCAGTTTTTATTGAGTTATAATGGTGATGAATGATAGTCAGTCTGTGTCTGGTCCACACTAAAATATCTGCTGGTCAGATTGCGATGGAATATGCTTTGGATTTTAATGTTTTCCATAAATCATGTATTTTGGCAGTATAGGGGTCAAAGGACATCTTCATCAGCACCACCATCATGCCACAATATGCACTTTTACACCAAAAATATGTTCGTTTCCCAGAGGATGAATCTTATTGATTTTAATAGCCCTTGATCTTGCATTTGTATTCCCATTACTGGTAAACCTCAAAATATTAATTCGGACTGATGCTAAGTGATTGTCCGCACAGGTTTGACTGTCAGAATATTTTTGCAGTTGGTGTTAATTTGCCCCAAACAACCAATGTACCCACTGTACAGATGTTAGCTAGCTCTTATTATCTTCTCAAGCTATCCTCAAGCTAAGCTCAATATATAAGTATTAGCTCCAGATGAAACAGGCTTGGATGCACCTCTGCTGAAGTTTACTTCTGTCCATGGTGAATCTATGTCTGTGAGCGTCCACTTGCATCTTTGAATTGACGCACTATGTAGTCACACCACCTCACCACCAAGATTTCTGCCTAAAGACACATTATCAGAACCAGTCAACTAAAAATCTAAGGCCCAGGAACTTTTAATTTGTTTTCTATTTGTTGATGATGTCGTGAGGGGTTATCTCAGCTTGGGCTTGGATTTTATGAAGTCTAAATAGTTGGAGTACAAGTTAAAGAGTAACCTAGCCTTACTTAAAAGGAAACGTGTAAAACGTGTAAAGCCTTTAGTGTCTCCAGAGGGAGCTATGCAACTCTGATAAATGACTCCTCAAGTGATGTCACCTGGGTCAACATTGGTTGGGTCTGAAGACTACAAGTATGAAAATGAAAAAAATAATCTGAAAGACGTGAGCTCACCATACCTCTGTAGAATCTGTAGTAGGGCTATTAAACAATCCTGTCTCTGTTCTCTTTATGTGCATCCATGTGTCCTAACAGTGAAGCTGTTTCCAGTCACCTGTGAGTACATCAAAGGAGAGAAACAGTTTTACTACAGAGCTCAGAAGTTCTATGAGGACGTCCCTGCCTCAGAGGAGGGCATGCTGGGAGATTTTGTGGAGATATGCAACATCGATCTAGAGGGTTCTCGGCAGTTTCTGAAGCGGTTTGTGGTGAGTAACAAGATTCCAACTCAAATTCTGACAGTGGTTGAAGAAGTACTAAGAGCTTGTTCTTGAGTAAAAGTAGCCAGCTGCGCTGTGACACCTGAGAAAAGATTTTCTATACTCACTGCCCAATCAGGGGGTAGCACATACACTGCACCTGCTCCCTATAAAGTGCATGCATTGCACATCTCCCTTTTTTACTCAGCCACAGAACTGGACTAACATGAGCTTGGTCTCACCATTTGGTATCGCAGGAGCCATCATTAGCATTGTGTCTTCTCCACAAAAGTCTTGTGCCGCCTCTACCTCGGTTTGCTTTTACTGGACCCCCATGGTTCCTGCATCCTGTGCATGAGTTGGCAGCATCAGGCTGAGGCTGACTCCTGCACCGCCTGCCTTGCTCTACCCCAGGAGGAGGAACAGAATGAGGAAAACAACTGTTGGGTCTATAAGGAGAGAGGCCTGGCCTTCCTCTCTAAAGATGACGACTCTACCAATCACCATTATCCCTTTGATGGCCTGCCCTGTCTATTTGCCTTGGCCACTGAGAGGCTGGAGCTCCCTCTGTCTCTCCAGGCCCCCTCCATGGCCCAGGCCATAGATTTTATCATAAGCCTCCGTGCCCAGCCACATGCTAGGTCATGCCAAGTGTGGCTCCACCCAAGATGGTACCCATCTTCGATTACGCACACCCAGATGGTTCCTCTGACCAGGTCAAGTTGGCCATTGCTTCCATCTGACATGGACAGGGTAACAGCTGGCCTTTTTGATATGTGCTACACAGTGCTGCCCAGGAAGTGACACCTGTGAGCAACATAGCCCTCCTGGCAGTATCCCTGGACAGTCTCATCCATGAGAGAATGAGCAAACACCACTGGAGGTATTGGAGGTGCAGACAACAAAAGACACACTCTTCTGCATGTCCCAGCCATTCGCCATTAACTGTGGCAGTTCCATGTGCCCCACTCAGGTGGAGCACAGGCACCTCTGGAAGGGCCTGTCCTCCCCAAAAGAGAGAGATATTTAGAGGGCAGAGCACATATGAAATAGAAATAGTATTTACCTGGATATGTTGGCATTTCTACGAGTAGTTCTCTAGCTATAAGCTGACCCCTGGCTGACCCCCAGGTCAGGTGGTGAGCACAGAAACTTTCTCAGGTGCTTTCTCAGCCTCAAGAGGGTAGACAAACTCATAGAAGAGGAGTTACCTCTAGATAACTACTATTTACAGTACAGTCCACCAGGGAAACTGACAGTAAGATTTGAGATGTCTCTCTCTATCATTTACACTGTACATACTGTAGCTTCTGACAGCTTTTCACTAGCATATAGATTTACAGTGTTGTAGCTATCTCTGAATACTCATGTCACAATCTATTCTGGGTGAGGAATTCATTTTCCTGACTACATAAAAAGAATTCCACCTTGTTTTATGTAGGAGGAGGTGCAGTTTCTAATAGTAGCTCAGACTTGATGTCAGCCTCATAAACACCCCGACAGAACAAGCTGAGCCAACAGCTGTTAATCACTTTGTACTATGGTCAGTTTTTACAAGAACTCATTTGTTCACAGTGGAGGAGGATATATTTCTTAGTCTCCTCTGTTGAGAAATATCTGTAGTTTCATTAACTACAATATGGGCTACAATTTATTGAAGGGGATGCATCTTAAAGGAGAAGTTAAGGAAATAAGTTTCTCCACTTTCTTGCTGAGAGTTAGATGATAAGATTTATAACATTCTCATGTCTATGCACTTAGTTTAAAGTTACTGGCAGCCAGATAACTTCACTTTGCACCAAGACTGGAAACAGGGGGAATTAGCTTGCCTGGGTCCATCCAAAGATGACAAAATCTGCCTCCCAAAAACCTCTAAAGCTCACTAATTAACCTATTACATTTTTTATTAAATTTGCACAGAAACCGCACAAAAACAATTTGTAGTTTTATTGGCTGTTATGTACTGGACTAAATTTTGGTACAAATCAGTAACTTTGTGGAGCCTGTGCCAATTGCCTGGTATCTGATGGATTATGTTACCTTTCTTCAGAACCAGGCTAGCTGTTTCCCCCTGTTTCCACTCTAAGCCAAGTCAGCCTGCTGCTGACTGCTTCATATTTTGTGTACAGATATGAGAGCTACAGTAACTATCATCATATCATCTCAACTCTCTGCATGAAAATCAAAAAGCGTATGCCCCAAGGAGTCAAACCTTTCCTTTAAAGTATCATTCTCTGCATTTAAAAACCACGTCCTCACATGTCTCAGCATTTCTGTATGCGTGCACACACGTATCTGTGTGTGATCATGTGAGTGTCAGTGTGGACTAGAGTGTTTTTTTAGATGCTGGTAGAGCCCAAGTGCTAATTCAGGGTAATGGGTTTGGCCCAGAGACAGCGCTATTTAGAGGATCAGTTTTACAGGAGCTCTAATTATAAACTGCTAAGATTGGATGCTTTAGAGGAACTGCAGGCAGCTAAGTGGCTACTTTTCCACTGGTGCTAATGTAAACACAACAAGCCTTGATTTAACAAAGCTTAAGGTGATACAGCTGCTCACTGCTACTGATTAATACAGTACAGCACATTTGATGTGTTAAATGTCAGTTTTCTATTCTCAGCACTCAGTTCTATCTGTCATGAGACCAAGACACGTTACAGGATGTGCTTTATGACAACACATTGTATGCATTGAGCTATCATTGCAGACACAATTAGGCTGCAACTATCAATTCTTTTTTATCATTGATAATCTGATGATGATTTTGGATCAATTGATTAGCCTATAAAATGTCAGAATGCAGAGAAAAATGACTGATCATATAAAACACAAAATTCTAACATTTGAGACTTCTGAATCAGAAATTATTTGCTTGGTAAATGACTTAAAGTTACCAATTAGCAAAAGCTTATTTCTGTTGATTGAGTTATCAGTGTATTGACTAGTACTTTAAGCTCCTAACAGGATAAAACAAATCACAAATCAAAGGCCATCTTAAATAGAACTCAAATCAGTACAACACTGGAAGATTTGAAGTTTACCTGTAGTCCTTTTTTATTATTAAAGAATTTCCTTTAAAGGAGCTATATGTAAGAAATCTAAAGCAAATAGTCGTAAAATCCTCCTAATATGTCACAGAGACTAAGGAATAATGTT